ACCACTACCTGATAACCCATAAGAAGACATTTTTAAAGTACTTTAACAATAGTTTTAAAGGTATATAAGATCAACAAACCGTCTCTCACGATATACGTGTAAAACAGCAAAAAAAAAACATAATAGTTTGTAGAAAATTTCTGTTAAGTTTGGAAATTATATTGCAATCCCTCCTTGAACAATAGATCCCTAGGTCCTTTGTTGAAGGATTAAAATTTTAACCCGAGTTTTATTGCTTAAAAAATTTGTAATTTTAATAACTCAACTTTAAAAAATATATATTCAGATTCGTTAATATTTCCAGATTATGAATATCTAAAATTTATCATAAAATAATTACATTTAGAAAAGTTATAATTTATCTCGTATACCTTAAGTTTGATAAAAAAATGGACATCATTTTTGAATTTAGCTGACAAAGGAAATATCATATGCATAATAATGTATGAAAATAATATAAATCCATGAAAAACAAATATAATATTGAAATAAATATAAAATTTTAGTTTAAACATATTGAAAAAGCTAGTCGCTTTTCACTTTTATGAGGGTATTAACGGTAACTCGACCCTTTTCGCAGGTAAATTTCCCAGTTCCATTTCAGTACCAAAATGCACCAAATTAGTACTGAGTTGGTACTGAGATCTCAGTTCCAATTTCCCAGTACCAATCCAGTACCACCCTTCCGGTAGGGTAAGTAATTGCATGTGGAAATATTTTGCCTATAATTATTGTCTATTAATAAAAATATCTTTGACTAATAGAACTGACAGCTGACGACAGTGCGTAAATAATCAGAACTGGGAAATTACAACTCAACGTCTGTATTGTTGCACGAAAGCAGAGTTGGGTAGTAACTGAATTTTTTGTGCATATTAGGCTGTGTCAGTTCATCGAGATATTTCGAGTTCAAGATATGACGTCAGAGGCCTGGAGAGACAACAAACAGACGACACAATGTTATTCTTACGGGGAAGAAAATTTGTTTCCACTTTCATCAATTTTATTGATACTTTAAACACGGAAAACGCTTGTTGACATATAATAAAATTAAAATGTGTGTTGATAATTAATTTTGTTATATATTTGATTCATTTGCATTGATAGATTCTCTGAATTCGTGATAAAATATAAATTTTGAGGTTAGGGGTGTTTGTTTACTAACATGAAATCTTTTACTGCTGTGGTAGTTCCCACTTAAAATATATATTTTATATCTTTTTTAATAACATGCATACTGGATATTGTTTAATAATGTTAAAATGAAAAATGTGATTAGTAAACAAACTTTTCTAGCCTCAATATTTATATTTTATCACGAATTCAGAGAATCTATCAATGCAAATGAATCAAATATATAACAAAATTAATTATCAACACACATTTTAATTTTATTATATGTCAACAAGCGTTTTCCGTGTTTAAAGTATGAATAAAATTGATGAAAGTGGAAACAAATTTTCTTCCCCGTAAGAATAACATTGTGTCCAGTGATGGGTGCGTATAATACATGACGTATAATACGTGGTTTTCTACGTGTATAATACTACGTATATTACGTGCCAAGTTTTCTACACGATGTATATTACATTTGTTCACGTGATTTAAGAGCGGCAATTTTAAATTCTTCATTAAAATACATCATTCATTACTTTACACTATTGAAAGAGAAAGTTGTTAATATAAACAAAATTTAGGTAATTATTAATTATTTTAACAATTATAAAACAAAATTTTTAATTATTGAAATGTTTTTATATCGGTTTTATTTCTAAGTTGGTTTCACAGATAAGAGTGAACACCGGGCCACGTGCATAATAACATAACCTGTATTTTAAGTATTATATTGTCAGTCTAGTCGTTTGGTATCTCCCAAAATAAACAATTTTTAAATAAAATCTTTATAAACAATAACAAACAATAATAATACGCTTATAGCCAGTGTTTTTCATAATGTTTTGACAAATTAAACATTTAGCAACATTTTTATCAGTGCCTATCTCTTTCATCCGCTCAAATTCCATTTTTTCCCAGGGCAAACCCTCTTTAAATGATTTTCTTTTACTTTTTCTGACCATTTCTATTTTATTTTAAGACTTTAATTTAAATAGAATGATAAGAAAAATTCGTTATGGCAAAAATCAGAGGATCATATACAGATGTCAAAATGTCAGTGGTTTTCTACATGGTTTTATACATTTTATACGTATATTACGTCGAAAACGTATTATACGTACAAAACTTCGTGTGACGCGTCACAACCCATCACTGATTGTGTCGTCTGTTTGTTGTCTCTCCAGGCCTCTGACGTCATATCTTGAACTCGAAATATCTCGATGAACTGACACAGCCTAATATGCACAAAAAATTCAGTTACTACCCAACTCTGCTTTCGTGCAACAATACAGACGTTGAGTTGTAATTTCCCAGTTCTGATTATTTACGCACTGTCGTCAGCTGTCAGTTGTATTAGTCAAAGATATTTTTATTAATAGACAATAATTATAGGCAAAATATTTCCACATGCATAATTACTTATTTATATAAAATTTGTGGATTTAATAAGTTAAGTGAAAAATTACTAATATTTTTATTAAAATTAGACAGTTTACTCAAATATGACATCCATTTTTCTAGTAATATTTTAGTAACATTTTTATCCATCACAGATTTATCCTTTACCCTGTATCCTAATGGCGCACTCACACCTTTTTTGGCTGCCTGCCTGCCTGCAGGTTACCATGGCAACGCACGAGTGTGAGTGAGACAGAAAATTTGAATATTCAAATTTTTAAATTTTCTGTCGCACTCACTCTCATGCGTTGCCATGGTAACCTGCAGGCAGCCAAAAAGGTGTGAGAGCGCCTTAACGACTTTTATCCTCTATCTTTACAACTTTTTACCCACCTTTTTTTCTGTGATATGTACTTTTGATATATGCAATTTTGTTCAACAAAAAAAATAAAAAGCATATTGATAATTAAAAACATTTTTTTCTGCACTGCCTGTTTTACATTATAAACCACGCGATTAAGAACAAAAAAATTTTAAATTAAAAACAGAAATATAATTAAAATGATTTTCATTAAAAATTAATAATTATAGAAAAATGGATATCATCTTACATTCACAAATATTTATAATTGCAGGAGAGACTTAACGAATTACATGAGATATATGTGACTCTTTTTTTTTAAAATTTCAAAATAATAAAAAATTGTCCGCCATGGAATTTAATGGTTGAAAAATGCAATGATGTAATGAATGATATTAAATTAAAGATAATAAATATTAATGAAAATACAGATGTTCAAGAGAGTACAGTTAATTTGGAAAACTTATATACATTTCAAAGATGGTGGTCCCTCGAAAAAAACAAAACTTGTATGAGTCTGAAAAGAAACCTAAGTTTGAATCAGAACAAAATATGGGTTAGTTATAATAGTATATTGTGCACCAAGTACCGAAAGAAGATGTTTTCCGACAAGTGCAAAATTTGCACAAAGTCGGAAAATGTTCTTTCGTACGCGTTACACACAGTACTTTGTGCGATATCACTTTAGAGAAAATGCTTTTTATTAAATAAATAACAAGCTACAATTTAAATTCATAAAATATGTAATAATTTCTATATAATTAGTTTTGTACACAAATTCAACTGCCAATAGAGAGCAAAAGTCAAAGTTCTACTTTATTGATATTTTATTATATTTAATTAATTTAATAAATTATATTTATTACCCAAGCAGCACGGTATATACCCTGAATATCCGTTGAATACCACAGTGGAATATTCTCATGATCTTCTAGGAAAATCAAAATGTCCGCATCATGGGAATATTCCATAGTGACATTCAGGGTATATTCCAGTGACATTGAGGGAATATTCCTCGGTGAAATTCATGGAATATTCCAGTGACATTGAGGGGATATTCAGGTGATATTGTGGAAATATTCCAGTGATATTGAGGGAATATTCCACGGTTACATTGAATTTTTTTTAAACATGTGTTTTTAATCTTCCTGCTTATTCAAATAACAATTTATAACATATTTCTATTATTTCAACATTTAAAAAAAAATTCAATATAACCGTGGAATATTCCCTCAATATCACTGGAATATTTCTTTAATATTACCCTCAATGTCACTGGAATATACCCTGAATGTCACTGTAGAATATTCCCATGATGCGGACATTTTGATTTTCCTAGAAGATCATGGGAATATTCCACGGTGGCATTCAAGGGATATTCAGGGGATATACATAGTGCTGCTTGGGTATATACATACTTGTAAACATCCTTCAAAGTACTTTTCTGCACTAGTACAGCAAAGTAATGTTTTCCGACTACTTTACAAGCATGTAAAGTAATGCCTTTCTTTAAGGTGTTGCACAAAGAAAATTAAATTCCTAATGTAAAAAAAATATGTTATGTTTTGTAAATATCAAAATTGTTTTCAACTTTCATTAATATAATTTTATAGTCAATAATTCTTAATACAAAAAGAAATATTGCATTAAATACGAACAATTGTTAAAATAGTAAATATTTTCAAAAAATAACATATTTTAGTGCAGATGATAATTTTTTTGGATTTTTTTAATCTAGTAAAAATGTTAAATGTTTTTTGTTTAAATCCACTATTTATTTTTAAAATTCACAATTATTATATGAGGTTTCGCCCGTCAACGTCAAGCCTCATCAGATTTAAATACTGGAATTAAATTTAAATTTAAAAAAATTCAGAAATTTGTTAGCGATTTTCGGTACATTTTCTTAATTTTTTTTTATTGAATTTTTTATAATTTTATGCTGCTTATTTTTGTTGACAATGCTTTTGTGACGAAATCATTGTTGTTTTTAGTTAATTTTGACACATTTTTATTAGAAAAGTAAAATGGGTGATTTTGTCACAATAATTTTTTTAATATTGCATACAAATATGATTTTTTTATTTCACTAATAAAAAAATATTCAATATGTAGTTGCAGCAAAATACCTCGATGGAAATTAAGAACCTGCTTATAGATGCTTTTAAGGCATATTTATATCATTTAAATTTATATTTTACAACAACTTACCCTTGTTATATTGAGACCTCAAAAGTGACAAATGGAATACATGATTTTAAAAATTATATTAAAGAATTAAATTCAACGGTGCCCTTGCTTAGAAATTTTGATTCCAACGGATTTGATATTAATTTTAAGCTTGGGAAAAGTTTTGTATCAAATTTCACAGATTTAGTAACGCGTATGAATAATAATTCTGCAGGATGTAAGGAAAAATTCGAAGAATCTGATTATACAACTCATATTAAAATGAATTTGGTAAATAAAATTTTCAAACTAACTAACTGGTTACTCCTAATTTGGTTTATTGTAATTTTTTTAAATATAATCATTTAAAAAACTTATTACTTTTTTTTTTTTCAAAAAAATTTTAATTTATATTTTAACAGTTTGTAATAATTTATAATATTTATTAAGATTTAATATAATAAAACTAAAAATAAAATTTTTTAAATATGTAATTGCAGAAAAAATTTGAAGACTGTGTAGTTGACATTATAAAAGATCTAATGAATAAAAAATATTTTCCACAAGTCTGTAAAATAAATGTATTTGAAACTGCAACAGTCTCTGAAACAACCAAAGGATTAGAAACTACAACAGTTTCTGTAAGAGACAATGGAATAGATTCTGAAACAACCAAAGGATTAGAAACTATAACAGTTTCTGTAAGAGACAATGGAATAGATTCTGAAACAAGCCAAGGATTAGGAACTACAACAGTTTCTGTAAGAGACAATGGAATAGATTCTGAAACAAGCCAAGGATTAGGAACTACAACAGTTTCTGTAAGAGACAATGGAATAGATTCTGAAACAAGCCAAGGATTAGAAACTACAACAGTTTCTGTAAGAGACAATGGAATAGATTCTGAAACAAGCCAAGGATTAGAAACTACAAAAATCTCTGTAACAGTCAGTACAGACTCTGGAATAGTTGTTAGCAAATCTGCTCAAAGTGTTTTTTCTTTTGTGCCAATTTGGGGTATTCCATTACTATTACTATTCTTGTTCATAATCTTTGATTTCAAAGTTACATGAACGTTCACTTAGTTCTAAGTTAAAAAAAACTTTTAAAAAATTCCAAGTTTAAAAAAATAAAATTGTTTCTTAAAACATTTACAAATAACTTGTTGAGTTTAAAACAATGAATCAGCCATGACAAATTCACTAAATCAGTAATAAATTTTACAAATATAATAATTATGTATACATATAACAAAACGATATTGACAAACAGATTTTTCTTTTATATTTTTCACATATTTTTCATTGGATTTTTGGACCCATCTTTTAATCTAATTGCGTAATTATTTTATGATTTTATTTTTCTTTATTTCAATGGTAATAAAAATAAAAAACAAATTATGTGATGTATCTTCTTCTTTTATTAAAATTAGAAAAACTTAATTGTTTTTAGAAAAAGAAACACGGAGAGAAATAGATGGTAAGAAATTATGATCTTAAGATGGTTAAAAGTAAATGGTATCCGGTACAATCTATATGCTACTCGGTACCATCTAGATGATAAAAAAGTGAGGTTATGTTACCCACTTTACAATCAAGATGGTACTCCGTACAATATGTATAGTATCCCGTACAATCTAGATTCCTGTCTACAACAAAAAAGAAGATGTTTGCAACAAAAATGAAAATCATCCATCGGTCCCTTTTTGAGAAAATTGATTTTTTCTACAAAATCGCATAATATCCCTGGTGGATTCGATTTGCGTAATGTCTACTTAACTAAGCGGACTTTAGGTAGACATTAGGTAGACATGTAAAAAAACGTATAAAAAAGCTATTAATCGACTTATTATGATAAAAAAAAGTTGATAAAAGGGTAAATGAATGTTTATAGAGTAAATTCGTACAAAATTTGTAATTAATAAAGCAATTAATAATTAATAATGAATGGAAATGTGCGCGAGGTACCTGATCAGTTCAGCTGTACAATTATTTTCGTGCTATTTTCATGAAAAGAATATAAATTAACTGCAAAAACAATTGATATTTATAAAAAAGTGTAAAATTGATTTAATTTGAGTGTTTGCAATACGAATTATTAAATAATAATTAAGTTTTTATCAAATGTGAATAGTGTTGTGAAAACCTGTGAAAACTAATGAGTTACTACATTACCGATCGCATATGATAATAAAAAGTTCTCGATGAGTGTAACAAAAAAGCTGCAATCATGTCCGTAATTTTGGACGAGAATTAATTATGAAATCAATAATTATTTGTATAACTTTATTCTGCATTTTAAAATTCACTTTTTATTTTCTTTCAAAGCAAAAGCTTGGAAGAAAACATGCTCGCACTGTATTGTAAAAACTGGTGGCGCCATCTCTCATATGCGATCGGTAATGTAGTAACTCATTAGTTTTCACAGGTTTTCACAACACTATTCACATTTGATAAAAACTTAATTATTATTTAATAATTCGTATTGCAAACAATAAAATTAAATCAATTTTACACTTTTTTATAAATATCAATTGTTTTTGCAGTTAATTTATATTCTTTTCATGAAAATAGCACGAAAATAATTGTACAGCTGAACTGATCAGGTACCTCGCGCACATTTCCATTCATTATTAATTATTTATTGCTTTATTAATTACAAATTTTGTACGAATTTACTCTATAAACATTCATTTACCCTTTTATCAACTTTTTTTTATCATAATAAGTCGATTAATAGCTTTTTTATACGTTTTTTTACATGTCTACCTAATGTCTACCTAAAGTCCGCTTAGTTAAGTAGACATTACGCAAATCGAATCCGCCAGGGATCTCGCTTTTGAATAGTTTCATGCAAATAATGTTTAAAATTGCATATAATTTTATATATATATATATATATATATATATATATATATATATATATATATATATATATATATATATATATATATATATAATCTGTTCCAGGAGAGATCGATATTTTTCTGCAGATCTTGTTGTTAAAGGGTGTATTTTTAGGTAAAAAAGGCGTTTTCTAGATTTTTTTCTGAAAAACATAGCCAATGATATGAAAAGGATTGTAACATGTGTTGCTTTTCCTAAAACTAAAATCAAGCAAACATATTTAAAATTTTTGTGACCTGCGAGCGTGGTCTCCAAAAGGCAGTCGGAAGGATCTTTTATGGTTTTATGACTTTTCATTGCAAAATTAAAAAATGTTGGAATTTAAAAAAATAATTATATAAATATTATATTTGCAATGTACAGGTTAAAACAATTACAACGGTATAAATTTTTTTGCAAATACTATAAGATTAGAGTTTGTGCATATGTAAATCATGAAATTGTATAACTTTTCCAAAAGCAAATTTTAATATTTAGACGTAAAAATTTATATCGTTGGAATCGTCAAAATCTTCAAATGGTAAATTTAATATTTAAAAAATTATTTCTTTGGATTTAAATATTTTTTATTTTGCACCAAAATGCCATAAAATCTAAACGACCCTAAAATGGATAAAAAAATTTAGTTGTCAATAAACATGTTTCTTCAAATTTAAAAGAAAGTGAAAGAGAAAGCTTATTTGCTGAAACGGAAAATAATATACTCCTCCTTTTATAGTTTTCTGCGCGTAAAGGGCCCAAATTCGTCCTGAAAAATATCGATCTCTCCTAGAACAGAGTATATATATATGCAATTTTAAACATTATTTGCATGAAACTATTCAAAAGCGAGGAATCATGCAATTTTGTAGAAAAAATCAATTTTCTCAAAAAGGGACCGATGGATGATTTTCATTTTTGTTGCAAACATCTTCTTTTTTGTTGTAGAAAACATCCCAAAAGAAAAATCTTGGTTATTTTGACTTTTCATAATAATCGCTTAAAACCCACCGTGAAATGCATATAAAGGTAATTAAATAAATCGAACTTGAATTAACATAAAATAAGAAATCTATTTATTCATACAACCCCCAAAGTGTATACATTCAATTCCCCGATTAAATCTTTAATATAAAAATGATTACAATTAAAAACAGATACTACTTTAAGCTATTTGAATTTTAAATTCAAGTCTCACAAAAATATCATTTATTGTAAGTACAATAAATGAAAATAACCAATAATAAAATAAAGATTTTAGCAACAAGAAAATAATTAGTGTAATTAGAGTAAGTGAGATTGTGTGTGTTTATGAGATTTGGTAATTTTCAAATAGTGTATATAAATTCAGAACCACTCACATAAATAATAACAATTAAAATGATATAGAAAAGTATCACATTACTTTTCTAACTCTTTGAGGATTTTAAAACTCTTGGTTGTCATACGACTCCGTGGTATGAGGAAGTCGATCTTTTTACCTTCCTTTATTTTATATCTTTGCTTTTTAACAAACTTGTATTATTCTATTGTCCTTGAACAATTATTTCAATATTTCAATTTCTGTTCATTAAAAATTCAGGATATTGGGTTCACCAATTCTGAATTTATAAACAGTTAAATTGAAATATAAACAATTGTGGAGATAACAAATAATAATAATTTATGAATTTAGGATTCTGCACTTTTTATATTGATAACAGTTTATACTTGGTAAAATAATCTTCCTTTTTCAACGAACTTTTTATATGATAGACGACTTCACAAATTGTGGAATATTTATAATTTCAGAATAATTTGACAAGCTCTACCCTTACTGAGGGGAGTAAATAATTCAACCACCTTTAGTGGGCACAAAACTTTATAACAATTCTTCCGCCTTCTCGCGGGAAATACAAAATAAGACTCTCTGAACAATAATTTGGTGGCAACGATCACACCCTGTTAGTATATAATTTTAGGTGGTGGGAGGGTTGATTTTGCAATCAACACCTCGTTGTTTCCATGCAAGTTTCAGCAAAACTTGCATTTTAATCGTGGCGTGATCGGTTCAACCACCTGAATTATCGGTATACTTTATATGTTTCCTCATTTTCCCAAAATAATGTGGCAACTTCTATACAGTGTAAGTCCCACAACTTGTGCAATCGATCGATAATTTAGTTCAAATTATTTCGCAATATGAGGTTCAATAATCTGAAATCATTTGCGAAATAAACTTTGATTTAGAAATTAAATAAAATAAAAAAAATGAAATTATAAATATTTATTGAATTAATTAGAAATATTATTTGAATATTCTAGTGTCCGAAACTTAGTATGTGTGTGTGTTTGTGTTGTATAGATGTAGGTATATAATTGACAAAGTATTTGTAACGTTAATTATATAAATATTATTTTTAATAAATAATATTTATCGCCCAAAAAAAATTTTAAATATTACGGAAATCCGACCGTAACAAAAGTTGTCAGGAAATGTTGAGGCTACCCTGTATTAAAAAATAAAAAAAATTTAATGATTATAAATAATAAAAAATATTGCTTATTTTTAAGTTGTTTAAATTCCACACATTTCAGATTTTTTTATATTGATATAATATTATGTATACCTTCATCAGATCAGGTTGACTTTCTTCGATTCTTGGCTTTCCTTTTACTTCGCGGGGTTTAAGCTTAAGGTGCTTTTATACCTCAAATTTCGATCAGATGAACATTATTTCTGGACCGTGAAAATGCGTAAAAAGTCTTTTTTACGGCGGGTATTTTTGAATTGTTTTAAACAAAAAATGTTTTTTTAAGAAATATAATATTAAATAATTGTTTTAATATGTAAGAACACTTTAAAATAGTGATAGAAAGATGATTTGAGTGAAAAATTTAGCAAATTTTGCTTTAAAACGTTTCTGCTACAAGAAAGTGTAAAATGACGATGTTTTTAAAATGGTTTGTACAGTGTACATGTGTACATGTTTCTTTCAGTTATTCGAAACAATTAGTTGAATTTAAATTTATTTGATAAACATTTAAACTTACCGATTTATTTTCAGCACTCATTATTTATTACAAGTTAAAAAGAACCGACATAACATAAACAAAACTCTGAGAGACACTCACAAGGAAGAAGCACTGTACAAACCATTTCACAAACATTGTTATTTTACACTTTCTTGTAGTAGAAAACGTTTTAAAGCAAAATTTGCTAAATTTTTTAATCAAATCATCTCTCTATCACTATTTTAAAGTGTTCTTACATATTGAAACAATTATTTAATATTATATTTTTTAAAAAAACATTTTTTGTATAAAACAATTCAAAAATACCCGCCGTGAAAATGACTTTTCACGCATTTTCACGGCCAAGAAATAATGTTCATCCGATCGAAATTTGAGGTATAAAAGCACCTTTATCTGCTAATTCAGGATGTTCATCTAAAAGTTCAGCCATTTTCAATTTTTTGGAATCACACAGTTTTTGTTGACGTTCAGCAGCATCTTGTTTCCGTTTTAAAAATTTTTTCTCTTCCGTCAAAGCTTTCTTTACCTCTTTAATTGTCTGATTCGTGTCCGATGTTTCTAGGCCTGATTCTCATCCAGCCACACAGTGGTCTGAAACTCGAATCTAGGTGGACAAAAGTCAATAAATTGAAGTCTTAAAAAAAAAAATTTTCAGTGGTTTTATATTCTAAGGTATCTAAAGTGTCTGTTTTACATATTTTAACCAATAAAAAAATTTTATTTTCCTGTGTCAACTTGTGAAACATCAAGACTCACGCATAATTGTTTTTTCTTGAAAATCAAGACTTAATTTGAATATAGCCAAAAACCTATTAAATCGTCACATTTTGACAAACCCAATATTTTTTCAATAGGTTTAGTTACACACTTTAAGGAAAAATAACATTTATCATTGTAAATATAAAATTTTATATTTTAAAACCATCAACAAATGTAAGTATTAACATACTCCTATATTATTATATTCAAAAGGACAACAGTTAAATTCTTCAAATTTCTTTAAATAATTATATATGGGGAAATGTTCGTAAAGAAATTGCCTTTCAGCAACCACAAACATCTTCTGACACTTTTCGAGATATTCATATTGAAAGCGTGCGTCATAGAGTTCTGAATAACAAATATAGGTGGACAAAGCTATAGTTTCAAAATTTCTTACATAAATTTTGTTGCAACTTGTTAGCCAAGGGTTTTCAAGATTACTAGTTACGAATTTAAAGTCAGTTTTCAAAAATTCAAAATGGCGGATCCAAAATGTCGGACATTAAATTTGAAAATTGAGTGGATTTAAATAAAACATTGTATCTAAGGGTTTTCGAGGTCGTTGATTACGAATTTAAAGTCGGTTTTCAAAAATTCAAAAAGGCGGATCAAATATGGCCGACGAAAAAAATTAAAAATTACACAGTTTAGCTTAAAAATTGTTACTCGGGGTTTTCACGGTGGCTGATTACAAATCTGTAGATGGTTTCAAAAATTCAAAATGGCGGATCCAATATGGCGTACATCAAATTTAAAATTCAATGGATTTGAATAAAATAATGTATCTAAGTGTTTTCGAGGTCACTGATTACGAATTTAAAGTCCTCTGGATACAATATTTTATTCAAATCTCCGAACTTTTTAAATTTAATATCCGCCATATTGGATCCGCCATTTTAAATTTATAAAAACTAACTAAAGATTCGTAATCAGCGACCTCGAAAACCCTCAGATACAATGTTTTATTCAAATCCGCTAATTTTTTATACTTGATGTCCGCCATATTGGTCCCGCCATTTTAAGTTTTTGAAAACCAACTTCAGATTCGTAATCAGCGACCTTGAAAACCTTTAGATACATGATTTTTTTCAAATCAGCTAATTTTTTATATTTAATATCCGCCATTTTGAATTTTGAAATTCTGTCATCGGATTTGTAATCAGCGACCTCGAAAACTCCCGAGTAAAGTTTTTGAGCCCGATTCATCAAAGCAATTTCGAGAAAACAGTTTTGTGCACCTAGATGCGGGTTTCAGACCACTGTGAGCCATGACTAAACTATTTAGATGACTTTCAAGTATGTTGACCTTTTTTTGAGACAATTCTTGAGATGGTTTTTCACGGGACTTTTTCAATGCATTTTCTTTTGGTTAGTCGTCGAAATTAACAACATCAACCTATTATACAACAATCAATCTTAATTGAAAACTACACTTTAAAACATTACTAATATAAACAAAAATCTCGCAGTTCGATTTTTTTAGCGGTCTTTAAAAAATATTTTTCAAGATAAAACTCAAATCATATACCCACATAGCACGACTTCTTGCTGTGAGGTTACTGTAAGGATATCTGTAGGGTTTGTAAGGTTACCGTGTAAGCCTGCAGTAAACTTGAGGTCATCTTAAAACTTCCGCCTTACAGTAAGCTTACACAGTAAATTAAGCTAAGGTAAGCTTACACAGTAAGGTCGTGGTAAGTTTACATGGTAAGGATGTGGTAAGCTTACACGGTAAGGTTGTTGTAAACTTCCCGTAAGGTTACTGTAAGGTTGCTGTAAGGTTACTGTTAATATAAAGTAATATGAAAATATATTAAAAATAATTATATTATAATATATATTATACTATAAATTTTTTTGCATAAAAAATTATATATTTGGTAAAGTACTTTATGAACCCCAATAGGGTTTGTCAAATAAAAGTTACTGCGCAGCCGTATGTGCCATAGAAAACTACTGCGCATAAATATTAATAAATTTTATTTATTAACAAAATTCTATGTTTACAGTAACCTTACATCAACCTTATAGTAACCTTAAAGGAAGCTTACAACTACCTTACCGTGTAAGCTTACCACAATCTTACCATGTAAACTTACCACGACCTTACTGTGTAAGCTTACTGTAAGGCGGAAGTTTTAAGATGACCTCAAGTTTACTGCAGGCTTACACGGTAACCTTACAAACCCTACAGATATCCTTACAGTAACCTCACAGCAAGAAGTCGTGCTATGTGGGTAGTACTTTAAATATTTTATATTATATTTTATATTTACCTGAGAGATACTCGAGTCTAATGACTCTATATGAGCCGCCGGAAAGTAAAAGGGCGTATAAAATTCGTACGGCCGTTCGAGTTGGCCCCTGACGCTTGAAAAATCGATTTAAAAAAAAAATTTTTTTTATTACTACATTACTGGAAATTTTATGCCGCATCTTTTTCCTTCTATGAAAAAAATCTCTATCTTTTTCGGTTTTCGAGTAAATCGAAAAAAACTGGATTTTTAGAAAACACAAGTTTAATTAAATTTTTCACTTCAACTCGCTCTAAAAAACAAAGTTATAAATATTTTTTGACAAAATTCACAGGAATTATAGTTTAAACTATTCTTAAGACGACAAACTTTGTATGAATGTGATTTTTTTATTTCGAAAAAAGTTATGAATTTTTTTGTTTCACAGTGACAAATTTACGTGTATATGGCACAAAAAATATAGCGAGGATGATTGGAGTGACACTTCATTATCGACTCTCAATATGCACGAATGTATATTTTAGATATTTCATCTATCACCCTAAATTCAAATCACTTATCGATAATAATAATAATAAAAAAACACAAATACACAAAAAAATATTTAAAAAAACCTTTTTTAAAAATATAAATAAATACATAAATAACGTAATAATAAATAAAAAAAATAAAATAAAGTACCATTATAAATTAAAAATTATACGAAATATTTCGTTGCAACTTCAAAATTAATTTACAATTATAGAAACCTTCAATTTGAAGTAAAAAGGTTTACACTTATTTAAGCATAAAAATTTTAAAAGAATTCTGAAATTTTTTTTCTCATAAAAGAATAATAATAATACAGATAATATATTTTTTATACATAATATTGAATTAACGATAAATTATCAAGACAGGCAAAATCTAGCAATAACATAAAATTTATAACTCTGTATTAAATAAAATTACAATATCTCTGCGTAAAATGTTTAGATATTAGTAACAACGCTACATAATTATTATATTTGGTTAAAATTAAACAAAAAATTAATGTAAAACTTCTCCAAATTAGTACTTCGATCGATATGAAAGGACTCATTACCACGATGCTTACTGTATTGGCGGAAGTTTTAAGATATGACCTCAAGTTTACTGTAGGCTTACACGGTAACGTTACAAACCCTACAGATATCCTTACAGTAACCTCACAGCAAAAAGTCGTGCTATGTGGGAAGTATTTCTTGCATTGAAACGAATCGATTCGTATATATAAAGTATATGTTACACATAAAATTAATTAAAATTTTCTTAATTTGTCAAAAAATTTAATTAATTTAAAACAGTTTGCAACTCGAAATATTTTAAATCAATCAATTGAATTGAAGAAATTCATTGCTTCCACCGCAAAAAAGCAAATTGTTTATAAAATAAAGTGTATTGAATTGAATGAATTGTAATACAAAAGACTTTTTTTCTAAAACAGCAGGGTTAAAATGTTTAAGAATTGAAACATGTACAATAATCAGTTAATAATTAAATATACTTTAATTAATTTAAAATTAATTGATGAATAAAATTGTTAAACTCGTCTTATTATCTCTATCTATAATTACACTGGGTAACAAAAAAAATGGTCATATTGTGTTTATTTCAAAATTCCTGTGTTTATTGAATATTTGGGTGTCAATGAACAAGAAAATACAAAAAAAAATTTTAATTTGTTCAGTTCCCTAAAAATTGAGATTTTTAAGATAAAAAATTGAAATGACATGCAATAATTGTAGGGAGCCTGTATTTAACGTATAACTCATATAATGTATCATTGAATTTCTAGTTCAAATCTTTGGGAATGTATGCTTGATAAAAAAAATCGGATTTGCTTGAGTCTTGGAACTCGGGGGTTTTTGGGGTCCCTGATCACGAATTTGAAGTTAGATTTTCGTAATTCAAAATGGCGGACGGATTTCTTAGGAAGCGTTTAAATTATCTTGAGTCTTTCTACTCAAAGGTTTTTGGGGTCACTGATTAAGAATTTGAAGTCAGATTTTCGAAATTCAAAATGCCGGATCCAATATGTATAGGAAGAATAATTTTAAATTTGAAAATTAACTGGTTCTTTTTTAAAATCATTTATAAATAAAATTACATAACAATAAAATTTTAACGCATTCCAGTTTGGAAAATTGAAATAAAATTTTTTTAGCTCGTAGTGTCTGTTTGAATAAAAAAAAAAAAGAAGAATTTTTAAAGTCTCTTTTTAAATATAAAAAACTGATATATTCCAAGGTAATACTGTCAGGCTAAAATCCATTGTGAAATATGTGGTATATATTATATAAATTACATATTATATGAAAAAAGAAAACAATTAAAAAATTATCAACTTTAAATGAAACTTATGAACCTTAAAATCCTTTATAGCGTACAATATTAGCTCTTTCTTTTATTATTATCATGCGACAAAAAATACTAAAAATCGGACTTTAAATTCGTAATCAGTGACCCTAAATACCCCCGAGTAGCAAGAGAATTTAAACTGTTTTTAAGAAATCCGTCCGCCATATTGGATCCGACATTTTGAGTTTTTGAAACCTAACCTCAAATTTGTAATCAGCAAACCAAAAAACTGCTGAGTGACAAGTTTCAAGCAAATCAGGTTTTTTTTTATCAAGCATACATTCCCAAAGATTTGAACTAGAAATTCAATGATTCGTTATGAGTTATGCGTTAAATACAGGCTCCCTACAATTATTGCATGACATTTCAATTTTGTATCTTAAAGTTGAAGGATTAAGCTTTCTTTTGAGCCTTATGAAAGCTTTCTATGCCCTCACGTTTTCGTTTTATAGTACTTCAAAAAGGGCCAAAAAAGCCATTTTTCGACACTTTAACCTCAATTTTTAGGAAACTGAACAAATTAAAAATTTTTTTTTGTATTTTCTTGTTCATTGACACCCAAATATTCAATAAACACAGAAATTTTGAAATAAACACAACATGATCATTTTTTTGTTACCCAGTTTTATCAATATATAATTATTCTCTGTTTATTTACAATCGTGGATTTCAAGAAAAATATTAATCGTCGAAATTTTACTGCTTATTACGTATAATAATGTATACATTTAGGGTAATTGTATATTATAACATTTGTTTTTTCTTCACACGGACACTGTTTATAATATATATATTTTTTATTCTCACACATCTTTACATTAATTCCTTTCATTTAATGAGAACACTCATTTGACTGACACACACATACACACAATTCACACTATATATATATAATATAAGTATTCAATTTGAAAATTGTTGTTGATTGGAAGAAAATTATTAAAAAATAATCTGCTAAAGTAATGATTGTTCCAACATTATTTTATCGAAACCTATTGGAGGTGCGTGAAGAAAGTCATCGAGGATTAAATCCAAAATTGCACCATCATCGACTGGAAAATATTTTATGTATAATTTTGAATACATGGTTTTTTTTCTGTTTCAATTTTATACTGATAAAAAAGATTTTTTTTTTATTTTTGGTTGAAGAAAAATTTATTTTAAAAAATAACAAAAATTCTCTTATATACCAGTAGCGGGCACAAATTAACAGGGTGTCCAGCAATCAGGGAAGTCAGGGAATTTAATTAAAAGTCAAGGAACTTTTTTAAAAAATTTGCCAAAAATGAAGATTTTTATGAATTTTTTTCGGTGCAAAGACAAAGTTTATAATAGGGGAATAGTGTCAGGGTTGGACACAGTTTTGATTTTTTGTTTATAAATATTTTGTTTAGATAAATTCAGTCAATTGTGGTATATGGGTGGAAAGATCTACAAAAGAGGAACACTTTTGCTGTGGATCGTAAATTGATTGGTCCAAAATTAAAAAAGTTATAAACATTTAAAAAAAAATATCTAGTCAGGGTTGGACTTTTCAGTCAGGGTTGGACTTTTCAGTCAGGGTTGGACACTTTTTGAAAATCGAAACGCATTATTGGTAAAAACGTAAAATAACATTTGTAATGTTTTTTATTCTTATTTTTCATGTTTATCTTTACTTATTGTTTACAAATTGTAAAGCTTCATAAGTTTAAAAAAGGAATGAACTCAAATTACAAAAAATAACGCTTTATTGTTCCAAATAACTCAATGAAATGATGAACAAAATTTATACAATTTAAGTATTATTTTTCTAATATCTTTGGCACAATTTTGCACTGAAATATCAATAAAATAAAATTTATTTATAAATTGTGTCAAATTCATAATTAATGTGGGTGTTCAACCCTAACTGTATAAAGTGTCCAACCCTAACTAGAAGCATCATTTTCGAATTGTGCTAACCATAACCAGACATGTGTCGCGATTCGATTTTTCACTTTTTTTCTTCTTAAATTATGTACCCCACAATACATTCAATAAGCTTACCTTGCCGAATTCTTGCTTTTTTACACATTTTTTAGGTTTATTCACAAGTCAAACAAAACTTTTTTTGTCTCTTCGATTGCACCGAAGTCACAGGAGACGCTACTTTTGATTCTCAAAAAATGTAATGCCACAAAAAGTTAGGTTACACTACTAGAAGATTCGTCACGTACGCACACAGGTGGCGCTAGTGTTCTTATTTAAAAAAAAGCCAAGTGTCCAACCCTGACACTATTCCCCTACTAATAAATAAAATGTTGTTTATTATTTAAAAATACTTTAAAATTTGATACTTTCCATTCTTTTAATATTAAATTTTTTTTACAGAAAAGTGGGAAAAAGGTTAGAAAAAAGTAAGGGAATTTTTTTTTTTGTACTTTTTGCTGGACACCCTGATTCAATATTCTTATCGAAAATATTCTTTACTATATAGACAATTTACCGAGGAAAAAAATTGATGAGTATTTTAAATAATTTAAATTTAAAGATTTTTATTAAAATATCCGCCATTTTGTTATTTTTTAATAGTTTTAATATTTTCTACTGCATTTTTAAACTGGAATGGAAGCTCTTTTAAGCTACTTCTACAATAGCTAAATCGTATTGTCTTAAAGACGAATTTTTAGAACGAGACGATGCGCACGCATCCATTTGCTAACTGTTGACAAAAAATTTATTTCATGTGTACTAAAAATTACAGGGTTGCCACAAAACCTTAATTATAATTTTACCTGCGACTTTTGAGACTATAGAGAGATATTTTGAGTCAATATTTTGTGTTTTTCACTAATATTTGGTTTTTTCCATCCAATATGAATTATATTAAAAAAAAAAAAAAACAATTGTGATAAATGAAATTGAATTTATAGTTTAAAATTTTTTACAAATAGAAAAAGTCAAAACTTTTAATTGCAACACTATCAATATTGAATTATTTCTAAATAATTCTTTAATAAATCGAAATTACATTTTTTCAAAAGATTTTTATTTATAAAATTTTTCATACTTTTAAATTTGTTCTAAATTTTAAATTAAAAATCTTTTAAAATTTAATTTATTAACAAACAAATTTAACTGATAATCTGCAAAAAATTTAATTAATTTCAAAAATTTATAATTAAAAATTCTTTAAAACTCAATTATTGTTAAAAATTTGTAAAAAAAAAAAAAAAACTTCAGCAATTGAAATTTACAAAAATTTTCAATTTCAAATCTTCTTAAGGGTGTGTCCTGAATTAGAAAGCATAAAAAAAGCTGTTTTTTGGAGAATTTTTTTAGAAGGGAAAAAAAAATCTCAGCCTATTTAAACTTATAAGGTACATTAGTAATTTTAATAGTTCTTTAAAACTTTAATTATTTAAAAAAAATTTTAATAAAAAATTCTCTAAAATTTAATTATTTTCTGAAATTTGAATAAAAAAAAAAATTCAGGAGTACGAATTTACAAAAACTCTCAATTTAAATTCGCCTGAAATTAAATTATTTCTAAAAATATAACAATAGTTAATCTTTTAAAATTTTGATACATTTAAAAAAAATTGTACATATTTGTGTGCTAATAATTGTAAAAAAATATGTCTGTTTGTTATTGGAAATCAGAAATTTAGTAAGGCAATTTGGATGAATTTTGACGATGAAAGACTAGCAGTCTGGTATTTTAAACTCTAAATTATATTATTTTATAGAATTTTAATAATTTAAGCTTTTGTTATAAAATTTTAAATGATTAAAATATTTTCAAGGTAAAAAATATAAATTCAAGAAGAATCGTCTTGTTCTAAAAAATCGTTGTCTAAAAAAGCCAAACAAAAAAATATATTTTTTTCAAAAAACTTTGATAAAACAAAGAAAAACTTGATTTTTAGCTCCGACCATGTTTAGCCCTGCTTAATTTGAAATGAATAAAATGAAATTTACTATAAATATATGTAAATAATATTACCATAGAGAACTGGAAACATTGTGCCCTTTACTCCCATAATCGGTGCCTCTAGGGATTTACCGTTAAGGTAAAAATTTAATTCAATATGATCAAAAGCAACTCCCTGTAAAAAAAAACTTAATTTGTTTTCTTTTTTTTTGCGGGATATTATTTATAAATAAATAATTAATAATAAATAATAAAGTCCGCAAATCTATAAATAAATTTAAAAAAAGGGGAATTTTGAAAACATATTTAAAAATATCAAATTTAATTTTCATGGACAAAATTAACAAAGATGTATTAATTTTTGTCGATTTTATATAAAAAAGAATTTTTGATTTTCATACAGATTTTTCAAAATAAACAAATTTTTTATGAATTTTTCTAAACTTTAAGGTAATTAACAATTTTTTTTTTGTTTTGAAAAAGGGGCTTATTTTAAGAGTAAATTTTATATTTATTATTATTTATATGTAAAAAAATTATTATTCTTACAATAATATCGCCCTCCTGTGCAAGATCTTGAATTTTGTGTAATTCCTGTTGATTATGCCTTATAAATCCATCGGAATTTAAAGCCCAACTTTCAGTATCTAAACCACCACAAGCTGTATTGAGATCTGCAGATCTTGTTGCTAATCCAACGGCCCAAATACCTCCCTGTTGAACTTTTACCTCAAAGTAACTTTTACTTTGTACTAAAGGTGCATTTGTTAAAGCTCCACCTCTGCCGCAAACTCTCAATCCATTTTTTACTATTACAACTTCATGGCCTTTATGGTATTTCAAAAAAAAAAAAAAAAATTCAAAAGTTATATAATAATAAATAATAAATAATAATAATAAAACAAAAGAATTTGCGCATTTTGTATCATAATATAGCCCCGGTTAACGGTAATTAAAAAAAGAAGTTGATTGAATAAAAAGTCCAAAATCTTGAATTAAAGACAAATGAAAAATTTTAAAGAACAGTTTTTCATTCATATTTCTAAGATCATTTAAAATTCTTGTGATTACTTCCCGTGGAATTGCTATATAGAAATTTTATTCAGAATTAATCTGTAAAGTTTCAAAAAAAAAAGTTCTTTCAAGATCAAAAAAATTTTCTACCATAAAACAAAACTAAAATTAAATTAATTTTGGGAATTTAAAAAAAGAAATTTGTAATTTTTTTCAACTTATATTTCTAATTTCATTAAATATTAGTAAAAAAAAATACCCATATGAGTTGTATCGAGAGCGATGAGATTTCTTTCTTCTTTAGATATTTGGCCAGTAGAAAAGCCAAAACTATCAAAACAATTTCTCAAGCAGCAAAACATTTTTTAACATTTGATTATTTTCAATCATGAAAATACATTCTTATCTGTTCCGATGAATTTTCTGCAACAAAACGTTTATAATTATCTTCAGACAATTTGAAACATAAATCAATAAAAATTTAGATGATTTTGAAATTTGAATCGATTAATTATTAGATAGATTAAAATTCCGTTAATTTTTAGTTTCTCAATCTATTGAATTTGCATATTTAATTAATTTATTTTCAGCAACAAAAATTAAAAATTATTTAACTTTATCTTACTTGAAATTAAAATTTAGATTAATTTGATATTTGAATGAATTAAAATTTGGATAAATTGAATTTTAGAATAAATGAATTGATGTTTGATAAATTAGAATAAATCTAAATTTAGATTTATTGAAATTTGTTCCAAATAAAATTTGTAAATAATTTTTAAATCGAATAATTTTGATAAATTCAAACTTGTGTCTTTAACAGGGTGTCTAATAGGAAAAAAATTCCCTGACTTTACACTAACTTTTCCCTGACCTAAATTAAACTAAAAAAAATTTTATTTCGATCAAATAAAATTTATTTTGATACAATTAAATCATTTACCTGTCTATTATCCACTAATTTCATATGTAATTTCAACCAAATAAATAATGTTTCGTAAAAAATAAAATATTTAAGTGAAATAAATAAACTAATTGGGGACGTATTTATATTCTCAACATTTAATTTAAAAAAAATTTTTACGGCGTCGAATCTTAAATTATCAAATTTTTATTTAGTAAAATTATATAAAGCAGATTTTCTAGTACATCGAATTTCAAATTAATACAATTTCAATTTAACGGAATTTATGTCAAGAAAATTTGCACAAAAAAAAATTGTTTAACAGAATTGTTATTTTAGTAAATTTCGATTTATCAAAAATATTTACTTAAGAGAATTGTCATTGAATAAATCCACAATTAACAGAATTTCTATTTAACAAAATTCTTAATTAACAAAGTTTTTATTAAAGAAAATTTTAATTCCGAACTAATTCTTATTTAACAGAATTCTCATTTAAGGCCAGGTCCAAGTGAGGCAGCGCCATCTACATTGAAACTAAAATTTTGGAAAATTTTCAACAGCCTTTTCTTGAAAACAAGAAGGTAAAATGCTTTTTCCTTTATGGATAATTGATTATTGGCAAGATATACACCAGCTAAAACTTTTTTTGAGTTAAAATAATAAAAAAAATTTCATGTCAATAAATTAAATATGAGCACTTTTTTCACAAAAACTGTAACAGTACTTTCTCAGAAATTACAATCAAAAATGCAATTTCCATTTGGAAAATTAATAAACGCTAAAAAATACACGACCTAAGATTTACCAATCACGAAAATAAGAAAAAAAAATTTTATTAAATATTTAACATATTGATACTGCTTTACTGATTGTGACAGCCCTTTGGTAGATTATGTATTTCAGGTGGTTAGCAACAGCGCCAATCTCCTCCTTTCGGCAAAACTGCGAAACGTCTGGTGACATATATAACCTGCCAAACGGCTGTCATAATGAGTAAAATATGTTATGTTAAAATACTTTTTTTTTGTTATTTTCGTGATTGGTAAATCTTAGGTCGTGTATTTTTTGCGTTTATTAATTTTCCAAATGGAAATTGCATTTTTGATTGTAATTTCTGAGAAAGTACTGTTACAGTTTTTGTGAAAAAAGTGCTCATATTTAATTTATTGACAAGAAATTTTTTTTTATTATTTTAACTCAAAAAAAGTTTTAGCTGATGTATATCTTGCCAATAATCAATTATCCATAAAGGAAAAAGCATTTTACCATCTTGTTTTCAAGAAAAGGCTGTTGAAAATTTTCCATAATTTTAGTATCAATGTAGATGGCGCTGCCTCACTTGGACCTGGCCTTAAGAAAAATTCTACTCAGTTCTTTTTTTGGCAATTTTTCTAGACATAAATTTCGTTAAATTGAAATTATATTAATTTAAAATTTTAAAAAAGTATTAGAAAATACTTTATATAAAAGCTTCATAAGAGTTTTGCTAAATAGAAATTCTTTGAGGTAAATGGGAACAGGGGGTAAATAAACCTGCAAATATTACCTTTTAAAGGAAGAAACTTACGTAATTTGTGAAAAATAGCGATTTTGTCCCCATTTACCCCAACTAACCCTGAACTTTAAGTCTATCAAATTTTCAAATTTTTTATTGATAAAAATAATACATTTTAATTATTAAATAATTATTAGTGATTAAAAAGTCAATTGAAAAGAATACCTGCTCAAAATTTTAACCTTTCTTACTTTTTCTGTGAAATGCAATGTAAATTATTTTTTATTTCAAACCTAAAAATTAGAACAATAAAGTTACAAATGTGTTAGATCTTTTAAAACTGAATATAACAATTCAATGTTTTGAGGGTCCAACAATTAATTTTTTTTTTTTTGTTTTCAACTCACAAAAAGGAATATTTTGGAACACGGAGAAAATCTGAAAGCACTGAGTATTTTTTCTCACATCACTGGCTACTGTGGAAACCAAAAAATTAAATTCCAAAACTCTGAATGTTTTCTGCACAGCACTCAATGCTCTGCAGAAAATAATCACTATTTTTTTCACACACTGAAAGAAAATTCATACTACTAAGTATTAAACTCATATTAGAGTTTAATATAAATGTTACAATTTAGGGAAAAAGTGCACCTATACTGATTACTATTACAGTTTTTATGAAAATATATAATGAATTTAAGAGTAACTATTATTTTAAGAAATAAGAATTAGTATATTTATTTTAAAAATTAGTATTTTCTTTATGAATTCACAGAATACGAAATATTATAATAAATAATTTCACAAAATAGTAAGAAAAATAACATATATCCGTATACTTATTTCACATTTTGTAAAACTTTATATTAAAAGTCACGGATTTTCCCGAGAGACTACGAATTTAACCGAAGTTCTGTCTGTTTGCGGCTTCGTGTCCTACTCGAACTTCTACGACTTGATCCGATTTTCGAAAGTGTTGTTAACCAGCAGAACGTACCTATCAACTGTCAACACACGTGTTTCAAATGTTTATAGTGCCACAGAAAACATTTATAATTATTAAATTTATTATTATTTTTTATTTTTTGATGTCATCTTTACAATTATTTAATTTTTATTTGCAATAAAAATTTTTATAACAATCATAATTTTTAATCTGAAAAAAAAGAAAAATCTATATAAACAATTAATAATAAAAATGAACCCAGCGTAACCTCTATAAAATTACACCATTGGCACTAGTAAACTATTTTTTATTATTAAGTTATTATAAGTAAACTTCTTTCTCGCAAGTGGTAAAAATATTCAGTAGTTAGTATATAAGAAAACGATATATGCCGACCCCCAGCGAAATTTATCGTTATGCGTATAGAATTGTAAGTGTAGGTTTCGTTGCGAAATTTATCGTTATGCGTATAGAATTGTAAGTGTAGGTTTCGTTGCGATCGTGTAATGTCTATGTATAAGCGAAATGAACGTGCGTGTTCATTAGTATGTGTATTAACCTGTATCGTAAGTGTGAATGTGTTGTTCCTAGTCTCACTCCTCTTCCTCCCGAGAATTAACGGAAACGTCCGAGTTTCCACTTTTTTTCCCTTTTCTTCCGACATTCTGAATTTTTCGTATAAAGTTTTACAAATATTAGAACGCTACATTCCATATAATGCAACAACTCTATGAGAATTTAATATAATATTTTCAAATATTGGTAATCTTTTTACGTTCTTTCTACAATAATTATTAATATTTGAAAAAAGATTTTAAGTTGGAACTTTAATATAAAGTATATTGAATTTTAATAAAAAGTACACTTTTCCCTAAATTCTAAAAGAATATATTAAAATGTAATACGCATTTTGTTATTTTTTCCTATGAAATTTCTTTCAGTGCAGTTATTAGAATTTCGGTTTATATTAATGGACAACAGAGTTTTCAAAGCTAGGAATATAGCAATATAAATTCTTCGCTCGAAGTCGTGACTGCTTTCCTCACAGCTCTGAGTACTGTGTGGAATTATTTTTTAGGATTAAAAAAATAAAAGAACATTTAACCTTTAATAAAAAAATAAATAACAATTTTAAACAAGCGTTCAAGACAATTTTAATTAATTTTAGATGTTTTCTTATATTTTTATGAAAAATTATTTATATTTAATTAAATAAGAAGTAATAAACTTTAATAATATTAAACAAATTACTTTTTATTAATAAACGTAAGAAATAATAATTTTTATTACTTCACGAGATAAATATTTAAAATAATAATGTTGAAACTTAATATTTTTTAATCATAATTATCTTACTAGCGGCGTATTCCTCGCTCGCTAACGGTCGCTCGGGTGAAGTTTAACCATATGATACGTACTGAATTTATAAAATTTCGTTACGTTTTTACGTTTAATATAACGGTTAAGAAATAAATATAAAAATGTAAAAAATATTTACAACCGATGTTTGTTTTTATATAATAATAACATAATAATAGATATTTTATTATTATATTATATTATAAATATGCTGTTATAATTTTTTGTCTGCCTTTGTTTGTTTATTAAAAATATTTACATTAAATAAAAATATGATTTGTGATATTAATTAATTTTTTCAAATAATATGTTACTTGAAAGGCGCTGCTGATTATTTGTAGCGCTGCCTTCTGAATTTTGGTATTGAAAATAATTAATTGTATTCCTTGCATGAAAACAAATCGATTAGTATATATAAAGTTTACATTTGAGGTAAATTTAATAAATTAATGAAAGTTAAAAAATAAAAAATTCACATTTTAGCTAAAAATTGTTGTATTTATTTAAATTCAAGTTTAAATATAAAATGATAGTGTTCCTTGCATTGAAACAAATCGATATAATTGTAAATAATTATAAATTATATATTATTTTTCATTAATTTTTAGAAATATCAGCTAAAATGTGAATTTTTGGTTTTTTAACTTCCATTAATTCTTTTAATTTAACTCAAATGTTTATATTATTTATGTATGTTTATTTGAATGTTAAGGTTTTCTCCACGAGGAAGCAAATTTTTTTTGCTGATCGTAAGAGGAAGAAAAATGTTCATGTAATGAACATCTGAATTTACAAATTTTTTAAAAGTTATCGTTATTTCAAAATTTTTCAAATATCTTCTATTATATTAAAATGTTTGTTTTGTATTTCGAAATTGTCCACGAAAACCGTTAAATTTGAATAAAAAAACATATTAGGATGAAAAAACCAGTATTATGACGATTTTTCTGATAGATTTCCTTGAAATCTATGAGACATAGGGATATAAAAAGAAACGGTTAAAAAATAGAGAAAAAAAAATCAAAAATTCGAAACAAATGCAATACATTCAAGACAAACTAAAAAATATATTCCCAAACGATGACATCCCTTAATCAAGGGATTGGCATCAAATTTGTAATTTGTTGCTATTTTCTACAATTATAAAATAAAATGTGGTCATTATTGAAAATTTGACAAAAAAATTCGGTATTTCGGTCCATGAAATCTATGAGACATAGCGATATAAAAAGAAACGGTTAAAAAAATAGAGAAAAAAAAAACAAAAATTCGAAAATTCCGACAAAATTTCGGAATTATGATTTTAATATAATAGAAGATTTTAGATTAGGTTGTAATTTGATATTAGCTAAGAAATCTTAAAATCTTAAAACTTGTGAAATACAAATAAATATTTAAAATTTACCTATAGTAATTCATTTTAAAAATAATTATTTATTATTTCATTATTGTATAAAACTTTATTTGCTATATAACTGAAAAATTAAAAAAAAAACGATAGTTTTTAAAAAGACTTTTTTAAGTCTTCATTTCTTTATTTCTATTATTCATTAACTGTTTATAAACATGTCAATTAAAATCAATATTTGAAAAGAAAAAATAACCATGGCTATCTTCTTTTTAATTGACGTTAAACGTTCCTTTGTTTTCTAAATTCTAAAAAATAATTCTACACAGTACTCAGAGAGCTGTGAGAAAAGCAGTCACAACTTCGAGCAAAGAATTTATTGCTACATTTTTGTAGTTCTGAATAATCTGTTGTCAACTAATACGAAACAAAACTCTGTTTACTGTCAAAAAAAAGTTGTGATTATTTTCTGCAGAGCATTCAGTGCTGTGTGGAGAACATTCAGAGTTTTGAATTTTAAGTTTTTGGTTTACACAGTAGCCAGTGCTATGAGAAAAAATACTCATTGCTTTCAGATTTTCTCCGTGAAGAATCACTCACATATTTGTATGTTATTTTTAAAATTTAAACAGAAGATTATTAAAAAAACAATTCATTTAAACATAAATTTTACAATTATTTTATTATTATACATAAATAGAATATACGTATTTAATTAAATTAATTATTTTAGGTATCAGCATATATAATAAAAATTAAATTATTTTTACACTGAGAATTTAAATTATATAAACAATACTTTATAGAAAAATTGAATACATTTTTAAAAAAAAAACATTCTATTTAAAATATAAATGTATATGATAAATAAAAATATATTTATACTGTACATATATGTAAAAAAAAAATGTAGACGTCACAGAATTAATTTAATCAATAATTTATTAAAAGATTATATATTAATCATACCTGAAAATATTTAATATTTCAAATGAAATATACTATCAATTTTTTTTTGTTTAAAATACAAATATTTCTAATTTTTCTTTGTTGTACTTTTAAAACAAAACGCCACTAAGTTTGAGGTTAACTCTTATTTTCCATATATATATATATAATAATAAGGTAAGGTTAGGCATATTTTAAAAATCGTAAACAAAATTTTCCAACAAAATTTATAAAATGAGAAAAAGAATAAAAATTTTACAAATTATAAATAAAATTTATAATATTCAAATCGATTTATGTAATTTCTTTCCTTCATTCAAATGACTTTAATTATTTTTAATTTGAAAAATATATTCATAGAATTGCGGCCAATCAATGGCCGCATTTCCTGTAAGACAATTTGTTTGGTAGGCGAAACCTCTTTAAATTTTAACCAATGCCAAAGTGAAAAAAAATTATTTTTTTAAATAAAGATCTGCATGTTAATTGGATAATAATTAATTATACTATTAAAGAAAACTGAAATTTTATATTATTTTTTTTTTTCAAAAGAAATCAACAGATATTTTTATTCTATTTCGAATTGCAATATCAAATTTTAAGGTACATGCACACGAGTGGCTGCCTGCAGCCGGAAAATTGGGGGAAGATTTAAATGTGAGTAATATTGTATTTTTATTTTTTAATGTCAATTGAGCTGTTCGGAAGAAGAACTCGCTCTTCGCTCGGAAGGGACAATTTCATAGCAGTTGTAGGCATAAAAATAGGAAAAAAAAAAATTTCAAAATTTTTATTTTTAAAAAGTACTACCTTGTATAAAATATTAAAGCGCATCTTTTTTTTCTTTGAAATTTTTTTGTAGAGCGAATATTTTAGTTAATAATAACAAAAAACTGACAAATTTTAATTCTTAAATTTCATTCAATTTTAAAACATAAATTGTCATATCTTCGACAATTATTAATGAAATTACTTGAGAATTGATATCCTAACACATTGAAGTATAGAGAAAAGGATAACATAATAAGAATGTTCGAAATCATCATTTGTTTAATAATTTTTAATTGTTATTTAAGGGCATATTGATAATCATGTTTTCTTACCTTTGCCGACAAAAAGTCTGCGGGGAAGTTCCGAGTTTCAAGAACTTCCAGTGAGACATTTGTTTATCAATGTGTAATAAAGTTTTTTGTAAATTTACAAAACGATTTATTAAATAGTTTAAAAAATATTGAAGTTTTAAAGAAACGCGTGCAGCCGCATATCACATCGCCACGTAGAGTAGAGTCTTATTACGCTCTCAGGGCGTGAAAACATCATCTTCCCATTACTTTTCAATAATATTATTTGTTATTTTCATAATATTGTTAATTAAATTGTTATAAATTATGAACAATTAATAAAAAATTAATTAACAACATTATTAAAAATAATTAAAAAAAGTTTTAAATATGTATATATTGTATCTAAATTTTTATTAAATAATATATTATATTATTAAATAATTTTAAATTTTATTACAATTAAATAACAAATTTATTAGTAATAATTATTAAAGATGAGGGATAAAGAGCGTAAAATTATTACTATTACTATTTTATTTTGATTTTCTGCGTACACCTTCTCAAGGTTTTTACGCTCTTTATCCCTCATCTTTAATAATTATTACTAATAAATTTGTTATTTAATTGTAATAAAATTTAAAATTATTTAATAATATAATATATTATTTAATAAAAATTTAGATACAATATATACATATTTAAAACTTTTTTTAATTATTTTTAATAATGTTGTTAATTAATTTTTTATTAATTGTTCATAATTTATAACAATTTAATTAACAATATTATGAAAATAACAAATAATATTATTGAAAAGTAATGGGAAGATGATGTTTTCACGCCCTGAGAGCGTAATAAGACTCTACTCTACGTGGCGATGTGATATGCGGCTGCACGCGTTTCTTTAAAACTTCAATATTTTTTAAACTATTTAATAAATCGTTTTGTAAATTTACAAAAAACTTTATTACACATTGATAAACAAATGTCTCACTGGAAGTTCTTGAAACTCGGAACTTCCCCGCAGACTTTTTGTCGGCAAAGGTAAGAAAACATGATTATCAATATGCCCTTAAATAACAATTAAAAATTATTAAACAAATGATGATTTCGAACATTCTTATTATGTTATCCTTTTCTCTATACTTCAATGTGTTAGGATATCAATTCTCAAGTAATTTCATTAATAATTGTCGAAGATATGACAATTTATGTTTTAAAATTGAATGAAATTTAAGAATTAAAATTTGTCAGTTTTTTGTTATTATTAACTAAAAAAAAAAAATGTCAAATGGACAAAACGTCGAATAGCAAAACGTCGAATGGATAAAATATCGAAAAGCCAAACTGTCGAATGGACAAAATGTCGAAAAGTCAAGACGTCGCATAGTCAAAACGTCGAAAGGTCAAAATGTCGAAAAGCCAAGACGTCGAACAGACAAAATGTCAAAGAGCCAAAACTTCGAACAGACAAAATGTCGAATAGTCAAGAAGTCGAATGATTGAAACGTCGAATAGCCAAGACGTCGAACGGACAAAATGTCGAAAAGCCAAAACGTCGAACGGACAAAATGTCAAATAGCCAAAACATCGAATCGCCAAGACAAACTGGTGCATTATATAGAAGGGAAACTCAGAGCAAAATAACGTCTCGATATTTTGTCCATTCGACATTTTGACCATTTGACGTCTTGACTTTTCGACATTTAGTCCATTCGCAGTTTTGACTTTTCGACGTCTTGGCTTTTCGACATTTTGGCTATTCGACATTTTGTCCGTTCGACGTCTTGACGATTCGATATTTTGTCCGTTCGATGTTTTGGCTATTTGACATATTGTCCGTTCGACGTTTTGGCTTTTCGACATTTTGTCCGTTCGACGTCTTGGCTATTCGACGTTTCAATCATTCGACTTCTTGACTATTCGACATTTTGATAACTCGACATTTTGGCAATTCTATATTTTGTCTGTTCGAAGTTTTGGCTCTTTGACATTTTGTCTGTTCGACGTCTTGGCTTTTCGACATTTTTACCTTTCGACGTTTTGACTATTCGACGTTTTGACTATGCGACTTCTTGACTTTTCAACATTTTGTCCATTCGACATTTTGTCCTTTCGGGGAAAAGCAGTCGTCTCTCGCCACGTGTTCAACAAGATTTTTTTCAACAATATTTTATTGTTAAGTTGCTTATAGTTACGGATGAAGAAAAAAATCAATAAATACTCACTACAAAACAATAAGCACAAGTCACTAGAAACACATTTGTTTCAATTTGTTTGAAAAAATATCTTGTTGAGCACGTGGCGAATACTGAACAAAGGCAACTTGCATCTGACGAACACTTTTGTAGGTTAGAATATACCTTATTATACATATACTAAAACACAATTAATTTTTTTCACTATATTAATTAACCATTAATCATTTGATTTTAAAATATTAATTTTGCGCTACTTTTGCTCTTATTTTTACTTATTTTTATCAATAATTGATATTAAAAAATAAAAATACAATATTACTCACATTTAAATCTTCCGCCAATTTTCCGGCTGCAGGCAGCCGGAAAAACGATGAGTAAAACATAAAGGCGCTCTCACACCTTTTTGGCTGCCTGCAGATTACCATGGCAACGCATGAGAGTGAGTGCGAAAGAAAATTTAAAAAATTTGAATATTCAAATTTTCTGTCTTACTCACACTCGTGCGTTGCTATAGTAACCTGCAGGCAGGCAGACAGCCAAAAAGGTGTGAGTGTGCCATAATTTTTTTACCTCGAATAAACATTTAACTGAATTTTCTTTTAATGGATTTTCTAATTATAAATATAAATTAGTATAAATTTTATTTTCCGAAGTCGCGAAAGTAGATATTTTATTTATTCACAATTATTATACAATTAATTGTCTTTCGAATTTTATTTTCATCTAATTGTTCCCTATTTATGGTGTTTTTTTTATGATTTTTATCATGATAATCAAATTTGCGACAATTTTCACTATCATTTTCGTAATCAAGGCACCAAAATACGTTAGGGCGCACTCACACCTTTTGGCTGCCTGCCTGCAGGAGTTGTCATGGCAACGTGTAGGAGTAACAGAGAAAGAAAATTCATTATAGAAAAGGACAAAAAAGTGTAGGCATATCTGGCCACGAGTGAACATATCTCACTATCTCTTTCTTTCTCATGCTTTCCGCTTTTACGTCGGCGTTTAAAGGTGCTTTTATACCTCAAATTTCGATCAGATGAACATTATTTCTGTACCGTGAAAATGCGTGAAAAGTCTTTTTCACGGCGGGTATTTTTGAATTGTTTTAAACAAAAACTGTTTTTTTTAAGAAATATAATATTAAATAATTGTTTTAATATGTAAGAACACTTTAAAATAGTGATAGAAAGATGATTTGATTGAAAAATTTAGCTAATTTTGCTTTAAAACGTTTTCTGCTACAAGAAAGTGTAAAATGACGATGTTTGTGAAATGGTTTGTACAGTGCTTCTTCCTTGTGAGTGTCTCTCGTGTCTCTCAAAGTTTTGTTTGCTCACAAGGAAGAAGCACTGTACAAACCATTTCACAAACATTGTCATTTTACACTTTCTTGCAGCAGAAAACGTTTTAAAGCAAAATATGCTAAATTTTTCAATCAAATCATCTTTCTATTACTATTTTAAAGTGTTCTTACATATTTAACCAATTATTTAAGGCCAGGTTCAAGTGAGACAGCGCCATCTACATTGAAACTAAAATTTTGGAAAATTTTCAACAGCCTTTTCTTGAAAACAAGAAGGTAAAATGCTTTTTCCTTTATGGATAATTGATTATTGGCAAGATATACACCAGCTAAAACTTTTTTTGAGTTAAAATAATAAAAAAAATTTCATGTCAATAAATTAAATATGAGCACTTTTTTCACAAAAACTGTAACAGTACTTTCTCAGAAATTACAATCAAAAATGCAATTTCCACTTGGAAAATTAATAAACGCTAAAAAATACACGACCTAAGATTAACCAATCACGAAAATAACAAAAAAAAAAGTATTTTAACATAACATAGTTTACTCATTATGACAGCCGTTTGGCAGGTTATGTATGTCACCAGACGTTTCGCAGTTTTGCCGAAAGGAGGAGATTGGCGCTGTTGCTAACCACCTGAAATACATAATCTACCAAAGGGCTGTCACAATCAGTAAAGCAGTATCAATATGTTAAATATTTAATAAAATTTTTTTTTCTTATTTTCGTGATTGGTAAATCTTAGGTCGTGTATTTTTTAGCGTTTATTAATTTTCCAAATGGAAATTGCATTTTTGATTGTAATTTCTGAGAAAGTACTGTTACAGTTTTTGTGAAAAAAGTGCTCATATTTAATTTATTGGTATGAAATTTTTTTCATTATTTTAACTCAAAAAAAAGTTTTAGCTGGTGTATATCTTGCCAATAATAAATTATCCATAAAGGAAAAAGCATTTTACCTTCTTGTTTTCAAGAAAAGGCTGTTGAAAATTTTCCAAAATTTTAGTTTCAATGTACATGGCGCTGCCTCACTTGGACCTGGCCTTAATATTATATTTCTTAAAAAAACATTTTTTGTTTAAAACAATTCAAAAATACCCGCCGTGAAAATGACTTTTCACGCATTTTCACGGTCCAGAAATAATGTTCATCTGATCGAAATTTGAGGTATAAAATCACCTTAACGTTGTCATTGGATGGTGCTTTTACGCCGGCGTTTTATGCTGTCATGTGGCGGAGCCTTTATATCATCTCAACTTTTCGATTACAGCGCCCAATGGGAAAACAAATGAAACTACTTTGTCCGTGAATGTAAAAAAGTGTCATGGCGGCTGCTAGCTGTCAGGCACTTTCAGAACATAAGAAGATGAAATTAAAACTTACATTTTCAATTTGTTTTCAGTGATAATATCGCGTAATATAATATATATATACAGTAACTGCCCGCGTGTGTGTGTGTGCATGTTGTTTTTTTTAACGAGCAGTGCTCGTTTAAAAGTTGAAAAAAATAATGGGAAGAGATGGGGAGACGTCTAAACGAAGACGGTATTAGCGATCGTACTGAATTACTGTTATCAACATTATCGCAAGAAATAACATATTCCGCTTCCGCCGCAATGGTGGAATCGCGGTCGCGTGCAACTCGTCTTCGTGGAATTGTCGGCATTTGTCTTCTTCTCGCATTAACTGGAATCGTTTATCTTGGATATTTTTGTCCCGATCACGTGTGCGCGCTAACTAATCGCGATCCTAAAGAACCCGCGAGAATTATTGGTATAAATCCATCGGCTGAAATTATTAGCAATTCTATTGGAATTTTAGAATCGCGCACAAATTTTCGTCTTCAAAGCGTTCCCGGTAGTCTTGGTTATGATGATCTTTTTACCAATGATTCCTCACAATTTGACATTAATGCACACGACGTTATGGTTTTTCTTCATATTCAAAAGACTGGTGAGTTTTTATTGTTTGTTTGTTTTTTTTTTTGTCTCAAATGATAAATATTAAATTTTATTTACGATTAACAAATTAAGGAAAAAATTGATAATATTTACTAATAAAATTATATGATTATAATAATAATTAATAGTATTTTCACATGTTTTTGTTTGTGTACATTTCGTTATGTGTGTGTTTTTCTATGCATTTTTATTATTATCGAATTTTTGAAATATTTCAGATATCGTATTGTACGACTTTTTTCAACTTTTTTTTGACTTTTTCAAAAAAATTTTAAATAAAATATGACTTTTTTTTAGTGTACAATGCAGCTCTTCCAAAATTTAATAACTTAACAATTTTTTAACTAAAATTCTTCACCTAAATTAATTGTTTTTAATAATTAAAATTAATTTAATTTTTTTTTTAAATTAAAATAATAATATTTTCAATTCTTTAAAAATTCAATTATATGAAAATATTTTTCATTTAAATATTTTTAAAAATTCAATAATTTTATAAAAATTTCTTTAAAAAAAAAAAAAATAATTTCAACAAATAAAATTACCAAAAATTTTATTTAAAATCATATAAAATTTAATTATTTTTAAAAATCTAAACTTAATAATTTGATAATCAGATTTCACAGTGTTTCCCCTATTCCCTTATTTTTTCCTCTATTTAAAAAAATTCCCCATTTTTATGAATATTTCCACTTTTTTTCACTCATTTCCCCTATTTTTTTGTAAAAGCTCGAATAATGGAATATTTCATAAAAATTCAAATTTGAACCAAAAACAATTTGTCTTTTTCAACTTTTTTCAATAAAATATAATTTCATCACAATTTTTTGAAAATTTTATTATTTAAAGAAAAAATTCTCAATACAAAATTTTTCTAAAATTTATGTTATTGTCTAAAATTTATAAAAAAAAAAAAATATTCAGCAATTTAAATTTATGAAAATTTTGATTAAAAATCTCCTGAAATTCAATTGTTTTCAACAATTTTAACTACAACTAAAAATTTAATAATTTTTCAAATTTTTAACTTAAATTTTTTGTTGAATTAATTATTTCTGATAACTTTAATCAATAATCTTCAAAAAAATTTCATTAATTAACACATTTCGCAATTAAATTTTTTTTTTTAAATTCAATTATCTTCTGAACTTTGTAAAAAATCTTTCTCAATTCAAATTTACCAAAATTCCGTTTTTTTTTTGTATATCTCCTGAAATTTTTAATAATTTCTGAAAAACTTAAATATATATCTTCTCCAAATTTGATTACTTCCAAAATTTTTATCTAAAATTCCTCGCTAAATTAATTATTTCAATCATTTTAATTCAATTTTTCAAAAATTCAAATTTTTTTATTAAAAATTTTAAAAAATTCAATTACAGTAGAAAAGGGGTGAAAAAGCCGCTTTTTTAGGGTTCCGTACTTGGTTCGGAACCCTATTAATATCGGTTTTTTTTCATAAATCGTGTACCCCCCCCCCCCTAGCGGCCACACGAATTTATCTGGAGGGCTGAAATTTGGTACACATATGTATTTTCGCGTGTAGATTACAGGAAAAATATAGCGAACCTGATTGGAATTGATTATCATAGCGTTGTCAAGAAAAAACCATGAATTTCTACGAAAAATGACTAAAAATAACTATGTACCCCCCCCCTCTCTAGCGGCCACATCTTTTGAAAAATATAGCAAACTTGATTCGTATCAACACTGAAAAAAAAACTAGTAGGTTTTACTACTTTTTAACTACTCTGAGTAGTACAATAGACCCTCAACTGAATTTAAACGATTCTATTAACTATATAAAAATAGTTAAACCAATTAAAAAATGTAATTGGTAGAATGACATTTTGTGATTGTAATAACTCAATTTAAAAATGTTAAAACAACTCAAGATGTAAGTAGTAGATTTTACTACTTAAAGTGGTTCAATAGGCTTTAAGAACATTTTTTTGGTACATTTAATAAATATTTTCCAATTGAAACTACTACTTTAAGTAGTAGATTTTACTATTTAAAATAGGAAAATAAAATTATTTTTTATTTATAATTGTTTATTATCAGTAGAATTGACTTTTTCATCCTCTCTCCTATACTGACGCTTATTTTATGCGATTATGTACCTAACAGAGAAAATTTCTAACCGACGGGAATCGAACCCTCGACCCTAACGCTCGCAATCCGATACCTTAACCGACTAACCACGCACGCTCGCTACGACAGTCTGCAAACTACTCGAAGACTACTTTCTGCTTGTCCAATTGCTAATTTAACTATTTAAAGTAGTCATTTTTACTACTTTTATTAGTTGCTATAACTATCCTTTTTAAGTATTGACTTGTAAATTTTTCATCTTTTAATTATATTATAAGTTGTTTAATTGCATAGTGCAGTAAAATCTACTACTTAAAGTGATAGTTTTAATTGCAAAGGATTTTTTAATTCTACGACATAAATGTTCTTAAGGCCAGGTCCAAGTCGTGTCAGCTGTTCCATTGAAACTTCAAAGGAACAGCTGACTCGACTTGGACCTGGCCTTAAAGCCTATTGAACCACTTTAAGTAGTAAAAGCTACTACTGAAAGTAGTAGTTTTAATTGGAAACGATTTGTAAATTTTACAACAAAAACGTTTTTCAAGCTTATTGAATTAATTAAAATAGTAGAAAATACTACTTAAGGCCAGGTCCAAGTGAGGCAGTGCCATCTACATGGAAACTAAAATTTTGGAAAATTTCCAACAGCCCTTTCTTGAAAACAAGAAGGTAAAATGCTTTTTCCTTTATGGATAATTGATTATTGGCAAGATATACACCAGCTAAAACTTTTTTTGAGTTAAAATAATAAAAAAAATTTCATGTCAATAAATTAAATATTAGCACTTTTTTTAATAAACTGTAACAGTACTTTCTCAGAAATTACAATCAAAAATGCAATTTCCATTTGGAAAATTAATAAACGCTAAAAAATACACGACCTAAGATTTACCAATCACGAAAATAACAAAAAAAAAAGTATTTTAACATAACATATTTTACTCATTATGACAGCTGTTTGGCAGGTTATATATGTCACCAGACGTTTCGCAGTTTTGCCGAAAGGAGGAGATTGGCGCTGTTGCTAACCACCTGAAATACATAATCTACAAAAGGGCTGTCACAATCAGTAAAGCAGTATCAATATGTTAAATATTTAATAAAATTTTTTTTTCTTATTTTCGTGATTGGTAAATCTTAGGTCGTGTATTTTTTAGCGTTTATTAATTTTCCAAATGGAAATTGCATTTTTGATTGTAATTTCTGAGAAAGTACTGTTACAGTTTTTGTGAAAAAAGTGCTCATATTTAATTTATTGACATGAAATTTTTTTTATTATTTTAACTCAAAAAAAGTTTTAGCTGGTGTATATCTTGCCAATAATCAATTATCCATAAAGGAAAAAGCATTTTACCTTCTTGTTTTCAAGAAAAGGCTGTTGAAAATTTTCCAAAATTTTAGTATCAATGTAGATGGCGCTGCCTCACTTGGACCTGGCCTTAAAGTGGTAGTTTTAATCACAAAGGATTTGTTAATTCTACAACAAAAATGTTCTTAAAGCCTATTGTACCACTTTGAGTAGTAAAATCTACTACTTAAAGTAGTAGTTTTAGTTACAGACGACTTGTTAATTCTACAACAAGAATTTTATTGAAGCCTATAAAATCATAGAAATTAATAAAAAATTGACTACTCAAAAAGCAGTTATATTAATTAAAGAAAATAATTCCTTTTACTACATTTCATATAACTGCGGTGAATAGTAGTTGGATTTACTACTCTTCAAATTTTGAGTTGACTACAATTCCACTTGTTTTTACTACCTTAAGAAAGTTAATTTTACTACCGACCTGTAGTTGTACTTTAACTACATATTTGTGTAAAATCAACTATTACTTATTAACTTCTTAAAAATAGTTACATTAACTACATCAACATGATTAGATTAACTAAAAAAATAGTTATTTTAACTAGTTTCTAGTCAACTACCCAATGGTAGTTGAATTTCTCGGCAACATTTTTTTCAGTGAATTTACATAGCGTTGGCAAGGAAAAATCAAAAATTTCAAAAATATGGTTTATTCTCCCTAGCGCACACAATATTCAACCCAGACAGTTAATATTTAGTATATACAAATGTAATTTTACGGGAAAAATACAGGAAAAAAAATACAGGAGCAATATTAAGAAACTGTAACATTGAAAATAAATAAAATTAAGGTGTGATGTCCATCTTAGGACCAATGACCCCATTTTTTTGGCGCAAATAAAAATTACTTACAAACACAGTGTCAACCGAATCATTTTAGAATACTATTATACGATAAATAAATAAGGTTATTACGATATGCACCTATTCGAAATCAAAAATATAGATAATTTTACCGACTGAAATAAAAACTGTTACAAAACTTTTTAAAATGAAAAATCTACGTGATATGTCTTACAGGAAGAAAAATAATTCTTTCCGATCCGTGTTTATATAAAAAGCTTCATCTAAACAAACTAAATCAGTAAAAAAAATCACGAGGCGATATATATACTTACACGGAAACTTTATATCAAATGTCCATCTTGGTGCTATAATTAATCTCAAAATTAAATCAATTTAAAAAATCTACATCACACACGTATTAAGAATAGTTTTCTCTTTATGTGCAAACGTTTACTTTTATTTTTCATCCACTTGAACGAGTCGTAATATGTTCGGAAAGCTAACCATAATTTTGTATCTAAAAGATCACAAAACTAAATTTTACAAATAAAAACTATAATATTATAAATACGATGGCCAAACTAGAATCAAAAGTTGCGTATTACCTAATTGAATTTATATTCTAAATGGCTGATAAAACTGTTCAATAGTTTTAATATAAAACCCAAATGGCTCTTTTTCCCTTTGGCTTTTTCACCACACTCTACTCTACTGTTTAAAATTTTGTCAATAATTTTCAGCAATTTAAATTTACAACAATTGCAATTAATAAATTAATTTTTTTCAATAATATTTTAATCGATTTTTTTGAAAATTTAATTATTTAAAAAAAAGGCCAAAATTCTGAATTCGAATAATTTGTACAATCACTTGGAATTTTTTCTTCTTTTAAAGTAACATAAAAATTATTATTTTTCAAAATTTGTCCTACTGAATTGAAATCTTGAAAATTTGTCATAGTTTAATTCTGAAGTTTAAAAAAAAAGTTGATTGAAATGTTTCTTTGATACATTCTTATTATAAAATTAGAAAATAGTATTCAATTATTTTACAAAAGTTTTTTCTTAAATAAATTGTTAAATTGTCATCCAATAACTTTCATCAAAATCAAATATACGGGTTGTGAAACCTCGTACGTTGACATTCCGTCTATAAAAAGATATGGAACTTTTTTTACACTTAAAGCAAAACATTTAGCTGGCCAAATGCCAATGAAATTATTTTAAAAGAAACAATACGTCTCCCATTTTTGAAGGTATATTGTGTCGCCAAATCGCTGAATTATTCATTTAAACACTTCTTATAGTCTGTGGGTTGATAATTGTAAATGAGCATGCGTAGTTAAAAAAATGTTTGTTTAGAAAAAAAAGTTATTATAACTTTTCTCTCTCTTTCTCTCTTCTTTTAAAATCATTAGTTTCGAAATTTAAAATTGCGGTATTTTGAAAATTAAAATTATGTTTATAATTATAATTTTCTACATTTACATGGAATTTTATATATGAGACTAAAACGTTTGAGAATTTGAATTAATTTATAAAGTATAAAGTGGATTTTGTATTATGAAAAATTTTCATATCGAAGAATTTGCATTGAACTAAAATTCGAATTAAATTTTTTTTTAATAAAAACTTTGTTAATTAAGAATTTTGTTAAATAGAAATTCTGTTAATTGTGGATTTATTGAATGACAATTCTGTTAGGTAAATATTTTGATAAATTGAAATTTACTAAAATAACAATTCTGTTAAAAAAAATTTTCTTTGTGCCACTTTTCTTGACATAAATTCCGTTAAATTGAAATTATATTAATTTGAAATTCGATGTACCGTAAAATGGGGTAAAGTCGGCGTTTGCGGGTAAAGTCGGCCGGCATTTTAAACACTTAAATATTGTATTTCATTTATTAATTTACATTAATTCTAACTACATTTTTAATAAAACTCGGATTTCTTCTGGAAAAAAGTAATAGTTAAACTTTAAAATGATTTAAAATGCCGGCCGACTTTACCCTCAAACGCCGACTTTACCCCATTTTACGGTACCAGAAAATCTGCTTTTTATAATTTTACTAAATAAAAATTTGATAATTTAAGATTCGACGCAGTAAAAATTCTTTTAAATTAAATGTTGAGAATATAAATACGTCCCCAATTAGTTTATTTATTTCACTTAAATATTTTATTTTTTATGAAACATTATTTATTTGGTTGAAATACATATGAAATTAGTGGATAATAGACAGGTAAATGATTTAATTGTATCAAAAAGAATTTTATTTGACGAAGCTGAAGTACGCAACGTTTATGATAAACGATTTTTAAGGAAATAATTTTTTAAGATGAAAAATTCTATAATTTTTTGCTCAAAAAATATTTTTTTATAATTTGTTGATTAATAAAAACTGTAAGAAATATTTTTTAGACGAAAAATTATAGAATTTTTCATTTTGAAAAATTATTTCTTTAAAAATCGTTTATCATAAACGTTGCGTACTTCAGCTTCGTTTTATTTGATCAAAATAAATTTTTTTTAGTATAATTTATGTCAGGGAAAAGTCAGAGAATTTTTTTCCTAGCAGTTGTTAGACACCCTGAATAGTTCAAAAAAAATTTTTTAGCTATAATTGAATTTAAGGAGATATTTAATGAAAATTTTCGAAAATTGTAATTTCTTTAGATATTTTATAAGCTTTAAACAATGATTAATCTTTGCAGGCCACGGATTATACGAGTTTTTCGACTATTTCCGACTTTTTTTCAAAATTACGACTTTTTTTGACTTATTTTAATAAAATGCGACTTTTTCGACATTTTTCACATTTTAAAAAAAAATTTTTAAATAAAATAAATTTTTTTTAGTATAAAATGCAGATCTTCTTCAGATTTTCTTTATTTCAATTATTTAACAAATTTTTAACTAAAATTCTTCACTATATTTATTTAAGTATCAGCGGGCTTAGCTTATATTAATTATTTTTAATAATTTTAATGAAATTCATCACAAATTTAATTATTTCAAATTATTTTTCAATTAAAATTTTTATGAAATTTAACAATTGTTTATAATTTTAAAAAAATATCAAATAAAATTACCAAAAATTTTTCATTCAAAATCACAAATCAATTCAAAATCAAATAAAATTCAACTATTTTCAAAAATTTCAATTCAACATCAACTAAAATTCAATTATTACCCAAAATTTCAATTCAAAATTAATTACAATTCAATAATTATTCAAAATTTCAATTCAAAATTAATTATTATCAAAGTTTTCAATAAAAAATCAACTAAAATTTAATTATTATCCCAAAATTTCATTTAAAATTCAATTATTTCCCAAAATTTCAATTCAAAATCAAAGAAAATTCAATTATTTTCAAAATTTTAAATTCAAAATCTTTTAAAATTCAATTATTTTCTAAATTTTCTATTTAAAATCAAATAAAATTCAATTATTTTCCAAATTTTCAATTCAATATCAACTAAAATTTAATTATTCTCAAAAATTTCAATTTAAAATTAATTATTATCAAAATTTTCAATCAAAAATCAACTAAAATTGAATTATTATCCAAAATTTCAATTAAAATTCAATTATTTTCAAAAATTTGAATTTAAAAGCTTCTAAAATTTAATTATTTCTAAAATTTTCCATCGAAAATTTTTTGAAATTCAATAATTTTAATTATAACTCTACGGAAATTCAATTATTTTTATCATCAAAAAAATTTTAATTAAAAATCACTTGAAGTTCAATTAATTTCAAAAATCTCAATTTTAAATCTTTGAAAATTAAATTAAATTTAAAAAATGTTTTCCAAAAATTGTTTGATACATTATTTTTAGTTCTGTAAAATTTAATAATTGTTTGAAAATTAACAATATCTTTTGAAATTTAATAATTTCTAAAAATTTCAACTTTAACCCTTCGAAAAGGATTATTATTAAAAAAAAAAAATTTTATTTAAAAATCTGTAAAATATTTTTGTTAAAATAAAAAAAATCGACTTTTTTGGAATATAAATCGACTTTTTTTGTGCCTTTAAGTCGATCCGAGGCCTGTCTTTAGAGAATTTTGAATTGGAAAATGTTTTAAATAATTGAATTTTCGAAAATCTTGATTAATATTATTAAATTATTCAAAAATTTCAATTTTAAATATATTTATAAATAATTGAAATTTAGAAGTGTTCGAGTTAAAATTTTTAGAAATAATAATTGAATTTCAAGAGATTATTAATTAAAATTTTCATTTGGAATTGGTGAAATTTTTTTGAAAAACTTTAGAAAATAATGTGAATTTTCAATTGAAAACTGTTTTAAATCATGTAACTTTCGAAGAATTTGTTTTAAATTATTGAAAATAATTGATTTTGCAAAAGAATTCAAGTCAATATATTTTTTTTAATAATTCAATTTGAAAAAATAAAATAAAATCGAAAAATTTGTGCAATCCGAGGCCTGTTATTAAAAACCTCTTGAAATATATTGAAAAAATTTCAATTTTGACAGTAAGTAAATGAAAATTTGGAGAAAAATAAAATAATATATTTCTTTGTCAACCCCGATTTGATAAAAAAAATTAATAAATAAATAAATAAATAAAGACAGCAATATTTTGTTAATTTAAAGGTGGAACATTATTTGGCAAGCACTTGGTGCGAGACTTGGATCTTCAAAGACAGTGCTCATGCCAAAGACGTCGTAAACGTTGCTTTTGCTTCCGTCCAAATCGAAATGAAAATTGGCTATTCTCAAGATATTCCACTGGATGGAAATGTGGACTTCACGCTGATTGGACTGAGTTGACCGGATGTGTTGATAGTGAATTAAACAAAATCGAAGGCAACGTGAAAAGACGTTATTTCTACGTGACAATCATCAGAGATCCGGTGGCAAGATATCTTTCTGAATTTAAACACGTCCAAAGGGGTGCCACGTGGAAAGGGGCACGTCATTGGTGTGCTGGAATACAAGCAAATATTCCCCAATGTTACTCGGGTCCTAACTGGGACGGAGTTACATTAGATCAGGTAATTTAAAAACAACAAAATTTTTTTTTTGTTATAAAATAATTATATAATAATAAAATGCTTGGTCTGTCCTTCTGTTCTAACTTGAAGTTGGCCATTTCTGATTTCACGTGTTTTTTTGAATAGTAATCTTATGACGTGTCAAATTTTGACAATTCTTTTTCTCATTTTTGCCAAAGTTGTATAATTGTGTTTCCAAATTTCGGAATAAGTTTCTTTAAAATTCCAAATTCCAAAATTCAATTCACGAAGCTGAAGTACACAACGTTTACCAACGAAATTTTTTTTAAAGTTGTATATTCATTCAAAAATTCTATACAAATACAAAAAATTTATGATGAGAAAAAAGATGCGCCAGGAAATTTCGTACAAGATAGTAATTTGAAAAAAATTTATTTTTAAAAATTAATTTTGAAGGTACCAGGGGCCAACGAATACCTATTAAATATTAAATATTAATTATAAAAACACAGGCCTCGAATCAACTTAAAGACACAAAAAGTCATTTTAGTCGATTTATATTCCAAAAAAAAGTGGATTTGTTTTTTATTTTAACAAAAATATTTTACAGATTTTTAAATAAAAATTTTTTTTTTTAATAATAATCCTTTTCGAAGGGTTAAAGTTGAAATTTTTAGAAATAATTAAATTTCAAAAGATATTGTTAATTTTCAAACAATTATTAAATTTTACAGAACTAAAAATAATTTATCAAACAATTTTTGGAAAACATTTTTTAAATTTAATTGAATTTTCAAAGATTTAAAATTGAGATTTTTTAAATTAATTGAAACTTTAAGTATTTGTAATTAAAATTTTAGATTATTTCACTAAAAATTTATTAGAAAATGCGGACAAAATACAATAATTTGAAAATCATTATTAATTGAAAAATGGTTTCAAATAGTTGAATTTTCAAAGAATATTATTAAAATAGTTAAAAATAATTGAATTTCCTTAGAGTTATAATTGAAATTATTAAATTTCAAAAAAAAAAAAAAATTTCGATGAAAAATTTTAGAAATAATTAAATTTTAGTAGCTTTTAAATTCAAATTTTTGAAAATAATTGAATTTTAATTGAAATTTTGTATAATAATTCAATTTTAGTTGATTTTTGATTAAAAATTTTGATAATAATTAATTGTGAATTGAAATTTTTGAGAATAATTGAATTTTAGTTGATTTTGAATTGAAAATTTGAAAAATAATTGAATTTTATTTGATTTTAAATAGATAATTTAGAAAATAATTGAATTTTAAATAAAACTTTGGATAATAATTAAATTTTAGTTGATTTTTCATTGAAAACTTTGATAATAATTAATTTTGAATTGAAATTTTGAATAATTATTGAATTGTAATTAATTTTGAATTAAAATTTTGGGTTATAATTGAATTTTAGTTGATTTTGAATTGAAATTTTTGAAAATAGTTGAATTTTATTTGATTTTGAATTGAAAATTTGGAAAATAATTGAATTTTATTTGATTTTAAATAGAAAATTTAGAAAATAATTGAATTTTAAAAGATTTTCAATTTAAAATTTTGAAAATAATTAAATTTTCTTTGATTTTGAATTGAATTTTTGGGAAATAATTTTGGGTTATAATTGAATTTTAGTTGATTTTGAATTGAAATTTTTGAAAATAGTTGAATTTTATTTGATTTTGAATTGAAAATTTGGAAAATAATTGAATTTTATTTGATTTTAAATAGAAAATTTAGAAAATAATTGAATTTTAAAAGATTTTCAATTTAAAATTTTGAAAATAATTAAATTTTCTTTGATTTTGAATTGAATTTTTGGGAAATAATTGAATTTTCTTTGATTTTGAATTGAAATTTTGGGAATTAATTGAATTTCAAATAAAATTTTTGATAATAATTAAATTTTAGTTGATTTTGAATTGAAAACTTTGATAATAATTAATTTTGAATTGAAATTTTGACTAATTATTGAATTGTAATTGATTTTGAATTGAAATTTTGGGTAATAATTGAATTTTATTTGATTTTAAATAGAAATTTTGAGTAATTATTGAATTGTAATTGATTTTGAAATGAAATTTTGGAAAATAATTGAATTTCAATTCATTTTGAATTTAAAATTTTGGGAAATAATTGAATTTTAATTGAAATTTTGTATAATAATTTAATTTAAGTTCATTTTTGATTGAAAATTTGGATAATTAATTTTGAATAGAAATTTCAGAAAATAATTGAATTTTATTTCATTTTAAATTGAAAACTTGGTAAATAATTAAATTTTAAATTGAAAATTTTTGATAATTATTGGATTTTTAATTGATTTTGAATTAAAATTTTGGGTAGTAATTGAATTTTAGTTTATTTTGAATTGAAATTTTTAAAAAATAATTCAATTTTATTCTGATAATTTTTTTTTTAAATTATAAACAATTGTTAAATTTCATAAAAATTTTAATTGAAAAATAATTTTGATATAATTGAATTTGTGATGTATGTCATTAAAATTATTAAAAATAATTAATTTAGTGAAGAATCATTTTAGTTCAAAATTTGTTAAATAATTGTATTGAAGAAGATCTGAAGAAGATATACATTTTATACTAAAAAAATGTATTTTATTTACATTTTTTTTCAAATGTAAAGAAAAATGTCGCATTTTATTAAAATAAGTCGATAAAAGTCGTATTTTTGAAAATAGTCGGAAAAAGTCGTATAATCCGAGGCCTGTAAACATATAATTTTCATTATTATCATTTAATATGTAATAATATTCTAATAAATTAAATTATTATTGATAATATTAATCTTTAATTTCTTTATAACAAACAATGAAATACTCAATTTGGCGCGCTTGCGCGCGTTTAATTTTGCTAGTTTGAAAATAAAAAGAAAAGAAGACAAGATATAAAAGTGATATACACACTAAGATTAAATTTTTAAAAAGTAAAAAAAAATATAACTAAAAATTTATGATGTGTATATTTTTTCTCAGATCGGGCGGTTGAAAAATAAATTTTAAAAAATTTATAGGCGAATATTTGAAATTATATTATACATAGTTTTATCTAAAAACTTTTTTTTTTTTTTTTTTTTTTATCGTCAACCACTCAATGATCACACAATCGTTCACTTAAATTGCGAAATATTTATCTCGTTTTCAATCCTTTCACTTATAGAAATTAAAATTAACGACGATGCAACTACACTTCATTCATTCACTTAATAAACATGTACTGAGCTACTGATTGTAAATAATTTTATATTGATGATGTTAAATTATTATTGAAATTTCATATTGTAATATAATTAATCGTTTTTATATTAGCAAATATTTCTTTTTATTGTGATTCTAATAAAAGAATGAAATTAAAAAATTTATTTTACAGACTTTTGTTTTAAAATTATAATTTAATTTAGAAAGAGAAAATATTTAAATATATTTATATTTAAATATTAAATTATTTTACTGAACGAGAATAATTACAAAAGTTTATAAAATCATTTTATTATTTAGAAAAAGCGTTAAATATAATTAAATTTTTCTTCTACTGTATTATAATTGACCTTTAATTTCTTAAAGACAATGAAAAATAAATCTTCTATTATAAACCCTCTTTCATAAATTATTTACAAATATTTTTTTTTTGGTTTCAGTTTATAGCTTGTCCTCACAATTTGGCGAGTAACAGACAAACAAGAATGTTAGCAGATCTTTCTTTAATTGGCTGTTACAACTCGTCAATGAGTAGTGCAGAGAGGGATCGAATTATGTTAGATAGTGCAAAGCACAATTTGCAATTTATGCCATTTTTCATGCTCACTGAATATCAAAAGGTAAGAATTTGTTTAATTCTATAAATTCAATTTTAAAATTTCTTTTAATTATATTTTTATTATTTTTATTAAGGTGAGACTCTAGTGAATTTTTCATATCTAATATTTTCAGTATCGCAAAATTTTCGTAAAAAAAACAAAAATTATAAAACCTAAAAACTTAAACTAAAAATAATTTATCTTTTTCGATTGTTTTTATTTATTTTCATTTGTATGAAAAAAAAAATTTTTTTTCACTCTATTGCAAAAATTTTCAAAATATTTATTCTCTTTGAAATATTTAAATTTTTATTTTACATGATAGTTGAAAGAAGTAAAGCTGTGAAAAAAAGAGTTGAATTTCATTTTTTTGGGCTAAACTGACAAAACAGTAAACAACTTGACTTTAAACATAAACAGCCTCATTTTGGGTATATTTGGAATTGTAAAATATTTCCATAAATATTTAACAGAAGCTCTGTTCCAACATCTGTGAATAATTAAATTTAAAAAAAAAGAACTCTTCTTCATTTATTTTTATTTGAAATAAATTAAACTTTCGAATTCTTCCCATATAGATTTATTTATGTTCAATGTGTTAAAAAATCTATAGAGTTATAATAGTTTAAAATTTTAAATATATTAAAAAAAAAACTGAAAATATGTTTTTTTATGAAATCTGTAACAAAAAAAAAAAAATTGTTTTTTCTATATTCGTTTAGACTGTAAAATCCAGGCTTCACAGTAATTCCCCTTTTCCCCTAGTTTATGTTGAAACTCGAATAATAATATAAATGTCATTTTTTCCACTTTTTTTTTACAAAAATATACTTTTATCAAAATTTTCTATAAATTTTATTATTTAAAACACTTTCTCAACACAAATTTTTCTAAAATTCAGTTATTTTTTAAATCTTATAAAAAAAAATATTCAGCAATTTAAATTTATGGAAATTTTGATTAAAAATCTCCTGAAATTAAATTGTTTTCAGTAATTGTAACTGCGCAACTATTTTAAAATTTAATAATTTTTCTAATTTTTAATTTAAATTCCTTCTTGAATTAATTAATTATTTCTGATAACTTTAATCAAAGTCTTCAAAAAATTTCATTAATTAACACATTTCTCAATTAAATTTTTTTTTAAATTCAATTATCTTCTGAACTTTGTAAAAAAAATCTTCCTCAATTAAAATTTTTCCAATTTTTTTTTTTTTATATCTCCTGAAGTTTTAATTATTTCTAAAAAACTTTAATATATCTCTTCCAAATTTGATTACTTTCAAAATTTGTATCTAAAATTCTTTGCTAAATATTAATTATTTCAATCATTTTAATTCAATTTTTTCAAAAATTCAAATTTTTTTTTTATTAAAAATTCTTTTTAAATTCAATTACTGTTTAAAATTTTTTCAATAAATTTTAGCAATTTAAATTTACAATAATTTCAATGAATAAATTAATTTTTTTTTCAATAATATTTTAATCGATTTTTTTGAAAATTTAATCATTTAAAAAAGGCCTAAATTCTGAATTCGAATAATTTGTTCAATCACTTGGAATTATTTCTTCTTTTAAAGTAACATTAAATTATTTTTAAAAAATTTGTCCAACTGAATTGAAATCTTGAAAATTTGTCATAGTGTAATTCTGAAGTTTAACAAAAAATGTTTATGGAAATTTTTCTGTGAGACATTATTATAGAAGAATTAGAAAAAATTTATTTAATTTATAATAAATAATGTTAATAATAATGAAATATTTATTAACTAATAAAATTTATTAAAAATAAAAAATATCGATTTTTGTTGTAATAAAAATTGACTAAAACGACTTCTTTCTTTTTCTGAAGTCAATCGGAGGCCTGAATTAGGAAAATTGGAATTCTTTTTTTTTTTTTAACAGAATATTAATTTTGAAATTTAATTTAAGGAGGTTCAAACCCATTAACATAACCTTAAACTAAAAATTGTTTTTAACAACAAATAAAACTATAAATAAAATTAATTTTATCAAATTTTGAAAGATTCATAGTTGTACAATTTTCACAAAATAAAGTATTTTGTTCAAAAATTTGTTGTTAATTAATAATTATTTCACTTTTTATATTTGTTGTTTAAAGTTAGTGAATAATTGTGTAATTTTTATGCAATTCTTACAAACAATAGCTCATTTTGCTCTTTGAAGGATTTACTACAATTCTGTTTGTTGAATTTTATTAAAAATATTTTATTCAGAAGTTAATAAACAAGTAAAAATTTTATTTTTTTAACAAACCATTATATAACAAAAACACAAGATTAGAATTGTAGAGAATCTTTCAAAGAAAAAAATGAGCCATTGTTTATAAAAATTGGTAAAAAATTAGAATTGTTCACCAACTTTTAAGAAAAACTACAAAATGATTATTAATTATTATTTGACAACAAATTTTAATTAACAATAATTTTTTTCCAAAATTATATATACAATTGGATCTGTCGAATTTGGGTGTAATAAATTTTTAATTCTGTTAAAAAGTACTTTTTAGTTTGATGTTATGTTAATGGGTTGAACCTCCTTAGATAAATTCAAAATTTCAGTTTCTTTGAAAAATATGAATAAAATCAAGTTTTGTATATTTTACAAGATGTTTTTCAGTTTAATAAAATAATAAATTACTTGCATTTTTCAAGAAAAAAAAACTAGTTCTAATTTTCATTCTGTGGAAAGTTAATTTTAAAATAATTTAAAAAAAATAAAAAGCGTTTATTCATTAGATTTATGCAATTTAAATTTTAATAAAACATTGAAAATGACATTTTAAAAAAAAATTAATTACTCTACTGGGAAAATCTCTTCTTTATATCTCACTTTTCTCTATAAATTTATCATCTTTTAAAAAATTTGGAAAAAATTAGATTTTACCCTATTTTCCCCTTTTTACAAATAAAATTTCCTCTATTCCCTTTTTTTTAAAGCAAATTTTATGCTGTGAAGCCTGAAAATGTTATTATTTAAATTTATTTTTCAAACTTGATAATTTTTTTAAAATGTAGAATGTAGAAAATGTAGAATTATAATGTAAGTAGGTTTTAATCGTTGAAGCAGAAAAAGAAATTAAGTTTTTAAAAATAATATTTATTATATATTTTGAGTTGATTTTTCAATTTAGAGTGATTTATTATTTATTTATTTTTTATATATAATGAGATTTTTTATTTATTTATTTATTTACGGGACTTTAAAATAAAGTACTTTAAAAAGTTTCAAATTTTTCAGAATTAAAAAAGTTTTTAAACAAAAAATTTCAATTTTCTTTTACTGACAATAATAGTTATTGTTAAATTATTTTTACTTTTATTTCATAAGTTGTAATTTTAATTTAACAGAGTTTTCCTTTTAATATTGAATTTTCATTTTTTGAATTTTTATTTAATTGAATTTAAATTCAATCAAATTTTTTATTTAATAAAATTTTTATTTTCCCTAATTTCGCGCATTATTCAACTTTTTATTTAAAAGAATTCTAAAATTGAATCGCTTATTTTAATATAACAAAAATCTCATATTGATTCTAATTATTTTTAAATGACACAATTTCTAATTCATTGATTTTATTCATTTGTCTGAATTTTAATTTGCACAAATTGTCAATTATTGAAATTTAAATTTTCAAAATGTCAAATTTTCATTTTACCGAAATTTGTTAAAAAAAGACCAAAAAAGAAAATTGAAAAGAAAGATTTTGGCGCGAATTTTGAAAATTGACAAACGACAATGAATTTCACGTTTATGATAAAAACATTTAGAAGAAAAAAAAAACTAATAGCAAATTATTATAATTTTCTGGTCGAAACTAATTTGCTAATTTGAAAAAAATGAAAATTCTCTAATAATAAAAAAGCAGACGTAAATATTTATTATAAATTTTTAATATTTTTTTCATTACTAATTTAATTTATCAAAACAAAAATTTACAGGTTGGCCAATATTCATTTGAAGAAACGTTTGGAATGCGTTTTGCGGTGGCTTTTGAACAGCACAATACAACATTAAGCGCATCAACATTATCAACATTAACCTCAATGCAATTAGAATCAATTCGTCGTCTAAATAAATTAGATCTTGAATTATATGCTTATGCAAAAACTGTTGCTTTCCAACGTTTTCGTCAATTACGCGATCGTGATCCACATTTTGTTCAAAGATTTCAACATTTGGGTGAGTTACCCTCTAGACAAAGTGTTACCGAATTTAACTGGGACTCAGTTATCGAAGAGACAACGGATAATGACTGAAAGCTTCTAAGTGATTCAAATTAGAATTTTTTTTAGACTAAGAAAAATTTCAAAAAAAAAAAAAACCCCGGCAAAATTTCCAAATTGAAAACATTTTTTCTTTTTTTTTTTTTCAAAAGAAATGTTTTACTCTCTGGAAATTAATGCCATTGATTGATAACCAAATACCAAAGAGTCACGAACAAATTAAAAGAAAGAGAAAAAAGAAAATAACGTGACTAGTTGTAGCTTCGTAGATTTTAAGTGTTTTCTCTTTATAAAATTAATCTCTCGACACGTTATTAATTTTTCACCAGTGTTCTTCCATATACGACATATCTTTATTCGTTTTTTAGTGATAATAATTGTTAAAAGAAAATTTAATTTTCTTTTTAATAATCATTCTTTTTAAATTAATATTTCGATTTTTTGTAATCGAAATTAAGTTCGATTGGTAATTTACCAACAATCGTTTTCTAAAGTAAGTTATTAAACTGACGATAAAAATATCCACTTTTTAGGGATAATAAAATCGGTTTTGTTATTTTTTTTATATATATTTTTTACGTGCCTTCATTTAAAAAAAAAATAAATAAATTTTATCAATTGCCCGAAGATCTCAATTTTTTTTTTTGCAAAGGATTACTTGACTCTCTATTTTTTTGCTTTATTTATTTTTTATAATTAATTTTCTTTTTATTTATACGTGTAAAATGATTTTTTTTTAAGTATCGAGTCAGTTATCATTGCGTGAGATTTATCTATAAATTATTATTTTGTACATAATTTTTAAAAGTAAAAATGATCTTTTTTATTAATTATACATTTTTTCCGGATAGAGAATAGAGATCTGAAATATTATGACAAGCTCCAGTTGTTTGTCTAACTAAAACAACGTGGTTGAATTACCGAATTATTAATCTACATTACCGGCTGATAATAAAATAGGACAATGAAAATATATAAAAATTATCGACATAGAAATGTACATTGAGGACTGATGGTAAAGCAAGAAATTGATAATATATAAAAATTACCGATATAGAAATCTACATTACCGACAGATGGTAGAACAGGAAAAATGATAATATAAAAAATACAGACATAGAAATCTACATCAACAACTGATGGTATAATAGGAAAATGAAATTAAAAAATTACCGACATAGAAATCTACATTACCAACCGATGGTATAGAGGAACAATTTTTTAAAATTTGAAATTTGTTTAACCATCAGTCGGTTATATCGCTTTCTGTGTCAGTAATTTTTTATATCAGAATGTTCCTGCTCTTACCATCAGTCGATGATATAGATTTCTAGATCGATAATTTTGTATATCATTTGTCTACTTTTACCATCAGTCGATAATGTAGATTTCTATGTCGATAATTTTTATACAATCATTTTTCCTATTTGTACCATCAGTCGATAATGTAGATTTCTGTGTCGGTAATCGATTTTTATTTTTAAAAAAATAAGTTTCAGATCTCTATATTTTAAACGAAAAACGTTAATGGATTTCCTTAACATGAAAACAAATGGATAAATAACAATTAATATTAATAATATTAATAATAAGAATAATTGATCAGAATTTTTAAACTTGGTCGTTTAAAATCGAATTTGCGATTTTTATAAAAATTCATAATTTCAAAAGGAAAAGATAATTAAAATAATTAGAAAAAGCGGTTTAAAAAATATTTTTAACAAATTTTTACTGAAACGTATAAATATTCTATAATATCTATTAGTGAGAATTTTTATTTGAAAAAATTCGACATTAAGAAAATTTTTTTTTCTAATTAAATTTTTTACATCACCGATTTTTATTTAAATAAGAATATTTTTTTCTTTCTTACAAATTTTTAAATACACAATTCGATATTTCGATCACAAAAATCGATTTTAAATGTACCTGGTAAAAAAATTTCGATTAAATTTAATAATAGTAATAATTAAATTTCATTTTTTCAAATGAAAAATCATCTATTGATAATAATAAAAAAAAAAAAAAATTACAGTCGGTAACAATTTCCGATGGACGGTAAGTTACAGACAGTCAATAAAATAGTTTTTTAAAAAAAAAAAAAAGTGGGGGTCTAAACGAAATAACTATTTTCGAAATTACCTCGTACGAGATTTTAATGCTCTGTCGAGAAATAATAATAATTAATAATAATAATAATAATAATAATAGTTTTTAAGAAAAAGAAAAAAAAATAATGAAAGTAAAAGTCGTTGTTATTTTTTTGTTTTTAAGAGCCATAAATAAAATATAATAAGTAGCGACTGGTTACCATAGATTTTAGATAATCGAGTCATAATAAATTGTGAACAATGTGTATTTCGTGCAGAGTGTCTTGATAACTTTTTTTTTATCTCTTTATAAAAGAAGAAAAGTTTTTTTTAAAAAATATTTTGAACAAGAAAAGATCATTTTAAAATTATTTGTTGTGGTTTATTTTCTAATAAACTAATTTTTAATAATATTTCATTTTCATTTGAAAATATTATAAAATTTTATTTTGAATTAAGTGATATTATGTATACTTTTATTTTTAATGACACTCTCTTTCAATTTAGAAAAAAAAACTCAATACTTCGAAATTCGAATAAGTATTTTATATAATAAAATAATAATGTACTTTGTGTTTTAACATTGTAAAACAAGAGTCACCAACAATCGTTTTTTTATTATTATTTGCGTGAACAAAAACGAGATAATATTTACAGATTAAGGACCAAAGATAACAATAACATGCATTTTACAGCACAAAAAAAAACTGAAATAAAGCAAGATTTCTCTTCTATTTTTGTTCTCGAACTTGTAAAGTATTGTCGATATATATCTTGTTCGCACAAAGTAAAACGAGTCAAGAAAAATGCTTTTTAAAAAAAAGTTATCGAATAAATATCCGACTGATGATCGCATTTTTAAAAATGAGATCAGTAAATTTGAAAGTAGATAAAAAAAAATCCATCTGCTCCGTAATATTATTTACTGTGAATAAAAAAAAAAAAAAATTCATTTTTCGATAACTTTTCATTTTGTAATAAACGAGAAAGTTAAATGTTGATTGATAAACTTTCGTCGAACAGAAGAGTGAGATAAACAAAGGAAATTATAAATAAATAATTAATTAACAAAAAAAAATATATATACATACAAATATGTTTTAAGTCAACGAATAATTCATGACGGCAGCCTAATCATATTTATATGAAATCTACGGTCTAATGCCTAGTGTCATTTAAGTCATCTGTAAATATCATAATACCAATTGCCAATTAAGCGTTCATGAATTATTATTTAATATATATATATAATAAATAAATATATAACAATGTATATTTACTATGTGTACACAAAAATATTGACGATAAAAACTGAATTGCTAACACAAAAATACAAATTATATATTATATATATGTATAAATATAAATATATTATATATAGTTAATGTCAAGCTCAAAAAAGATAAATGAAGGAAAAAATGAAAAAACAGTGAGAGCTGATTGTTTCTGTAGATCTTTTAATAAATCCTGCGAATTCTCAATTTGTGGAACTTAATTTTTGTTATTAATTATTTAATTTAAAAAAAAAAACCAACACTGTAAACATGGAGTGTAGTATAAGGTCTAGCGACCTTGAATTCCATGAAAACCTGAAAAAGTCCTTGAATTTTTTTTTTTACCTGGAAAACATGGAAAAGTTTTTGAATTTTTCATCAGGTCCTGGAGTTTTCATATATTTTGTGTAAGAATTTTTTTTCAATCGCGTTTTGAAACACAAATTTTCGTAAATATGTACATATTATGCAAAATTTAAGCCTCGAATTGCACAACTTATTCGACTTTTTTTTCAAATATATGAGAATATTTTAAACTTATTTTAATAAAATGTGATTTATGAGTTTCAATTTAAAATTTCCTGAAATTCAATTATTTCTAAAAAATTTTACTTGAAATCTCCAAAATTTATTTAATTCTAAAAATTTTAACTGCAACTTATTCAAATTTCAGTTAAGGTACATTAATAAAAAATATTTTTCTTAATTTACTTTTAAATTAAATTTAATAATACTTCTTTTTAAATTAATTTATTAAGAAATACTATACACAAAATCTACATATGTTTTAGTTTTCGACAGCCTCCTGCTTTAGTTATCGTCATAAAAGAAAATATAAAATAATTTTCATTTCATCCAATTTTTGGTGGACGATAACTAAAATCTATTAATATTATAATATACAAAATTTATTTAGCTAAGTAGAATTTCTGTTAAATGACAATTCTATTAAGGGTATGCGGGCAAAGGACGTTTTTTTGTGATTTCAAACTTTCTCTGAAATAAAAAATGATTTCGTGTTAAAATTATGGAGCAATGATTTTGTTTGGTACAAGGAATCTCGCAATTCTCACGCAACGTCTGTGTATGTGCCGCTGTCTTTTTTCATTTTCGTTTAAAAATGCAACTTTTTAAACTTCATTTTTTAATAATTTAACGCAGAATTATGTATTTTTCGGAAAACAGCGAGATTCCTTGAACCCAAATCTATCATCCCTCAAAATTTTAGACAGAAATATTTTCTCATTTTAGAGTAAAATGTATACTACCAAAACACATTTTCCCATACTAGGTCACGTGGGAGGTACCCACATACCCTTAAGGCCAGGTCCAAGTGAGGCAGCGCCATCTACATTGAAACTAAAATTTTGGAAAATTTTCAACAGCCTTTTCTTGAAAACAAGAAGGTAAAATGCTTTTTCCTTTATGGATAATTGATTATTGGCAAGATATACACCAGCTAAAACTTTTTTTGAGTTAAAATAATGAAAAAGATTTCATGTCAATAAATTAAATATGAGAACTTTTTTCACAAAAACTGTAACAGTACTTTCTCAGAAATTACAATCAAAAATGCAATTTCCATTTGGAAAATTAATAAACGCTAAAAAATACACGACCTAAGATTTACCAATCACGAAAATAACAAAAAAAAATTTTATTAAATATTTAACATATTGATACTGCTTTACTGATTGTGACAGCCCTTTGGTAGATTATGTATTTCAGGTGGTTAGCAACAGCGCCAATCTCCTCCTTTCGGCAAAACTGCGAAACGTCTGGTGACATATATAACCGGCCAAACGGCTGTCATAATGAGTAAAATATGTTATGTTAAAATACTTTTTTTTGTTATTTTCGTGATTGGTAAATCTTAGGTCGTGTATTTTTTAGCGTTTATTAATTTTCCAAATGGAAATTGCATTTTTGATTGTAATTTCTGAGAAAGTACTGTTACAGTTTTTGTGAAAAAAGTTCTCATATTTAATTTATTGACATGAAATCTTTTTCATTATTTTAACTCAAAAAAAGTTTTAGCTGGTGTATATCTTGCCAATAATCAATTATCCATAAAGGAAAAAGCATTTTACCTTCTTGTTTTCAAGAAAAGGCTGTTGAAAATTTTCCAAAATTTTAGTTTCAATGTAGATGGCGCTGCCTCACTTGGACCTGGCCTTAAATAAAAATTAAATATAAAAAAATTTTATTTCCTAATAAAAGTTTTGTTAAATAGGAATTTTGTTATATAGGAATTCTTTTAATTGGAAATTCTGTTAAATAAAAATAATTTTAAGTGAATATTCGGATAAATAAAAATTTGACAAAAAAACAATTTTGATAAATAAAAATTCTTCTTTATGAAAATTATTCTAGACATAAATTTTATTGAATGGAAATTGTATTATTTGAAAATTCGATATATTTTTAATCTGCTTTATCAAAGTTCAGTTAAATAAAAATTCTATAAAATAAGAATTTTTTTTAAATAGATATTTTTCGATATTAAAATTGAGCTCATTGTAAAATTTACTTTTTTTAAATTCTACTAAATGTAAATTCGATAATTTTTAATTCGACACAACAAAAATTCCGGCAAGTATATAATTTCCATACTTTTTGAGCAAAATACATTCTGCATGCTCTCTAAATCTGAATTAGTAAAAATATTTACTAATTTAAATTAGTGACTCACTTATTGCTTTAGAATTAGTTAAATTTTACTAATTGTTAGTAAAAGTTACTAATAATTAGTAAAATTTCACTAATTTAGAAGCAAAAAGTGAGTCACTAATTCATATTAGTAAACATTTTTACTAATTGACATTTAGAGAGTGTTAGCGCTAGAGACACGCAGCGCCGCACAAAAAATGCGATAACTTTTTTGCTAATTGCGATCAACGAAATTTTAAAACGGTTTTCGAATCCTTATTAAATTTCCTTTCCAATAAACTTTGATCAACTTTCTACGACAACGAGAACATGATTTATTTTTTAAATAAACAATTTTGCAATAACAATTATTAAAAATCAAAAATTTTTAATTTTCAAATTTTCAACTAAAACTGTATCATTTTCTGTGTAAGTATACCAATTTTTTTATAAAGATCCGTTCACTTTGTTCTAAGATATTCATTTTTTAACTTAAGACTACAAAAAAAACTTCAATTGTTTATAACTTTGAGAAATTTAATTTTTTTGAAAAATCCTTTGAGGCAGTTTTTCAACTCATAATAATGTTCTAATTTTCTATATTGCCAAGCAAATACAGTACATCTTTAATTTAGGTGATCCACTTCAGAAATTTTTAATCAAAAATAGAATAGAATTTTCTTACTGAAAATTTTTTTGTTTAATTGATTTTTCAATTTTCATTTAGGGAAATTTCTATTTATCTGTTTTTTCATATATCTACTGTAGCGAATTTTTAATTCAGATTTTTTTGATTTTAACAAAATTTATATGAATTTTTACAGATATTTATTTCAAAGAATTTTTCTATTGATTTAATTTTACTTATCTAAATTTTTATTTAATCGAATTTTCACTTAACTTAATTTCTTATTTAGCAGAACTTTTATTTAGCTAAATTTTTATTTCAACTTAATTTTCTATTAATAAATAGAATTCACTTACATAAAAACTCTATACGAAATGAAAATTTGATTGAATTTGGCTTCGAATCGACTTTAAGGCACAAAAAAATGTATCTTTTCAAAAACGTTTATCCAATGTCAATTCTTTATAAATTGAGTTAAATAATGAAAAAAAAATGTTTTAAAATAAATATATTTGTAAAAATTATTCAAAACTAAATTTGTTTTATGTACTACTTTATCATATAAAAACTCAATAATAAACCAAGTATTTGTGATAAATAAAATAGAATTCTTTAATAAGAATAATTCATGAAAAATATTTTTAAAAAATGTTATTTAGAATATTTCAGAATTTAACTGAAAAAAAATTTTCATCATCTTTGGATTTAAAAAAATTCAAAATTTTTTCTTCTGAACTATTTTTAATTTTTTTTTTGTTAATTTAAAGTAAATTTATAGAATTTTTTTTTCAGATTTTCAATAAAATTTTTGTGTTGAAATTGTCACAAACTTTGAAAATCAGTTTTATAAAAACTTATATTTAAAGTTAATTCCTGTGAAATTGTTGAGTCAAATAATGAAAATAATTTTTAAGTTGGAAGAATTTTTAAAATTTTAGCTCATAAAAATTTAAAACTGTAATCTAAGGCAAAAATAAATTTATTAAAAATTATTCAAAACTAATTTTTTTCTGTTCTTTATCATATAAAAATTAAATAAATTAATCTATCAGTTATTTTTTTACACTATAAAAATCGAAATAAATTTCATTTTATCCGTAAAAAGTTGCACTCATTGAAAAAAGTCCTACACTCCGTTGAATTAGTATCAATTTATTAATTCCACTTAATAAAAATGAATTCAATTATAAGATTCGTTCCACTGGAAATTTAAACTAGATTTTGAAATTTTTTATTTGAAACTTTTTTAAATAGTTGAATTAAAAAAAAAATAAAATTATTAAAAATAATTGAATTTTGGAAGAGATACAGTTGAATTTTTTTTTTAGAAATAATTGAATTTCAAAAAATTTTAATTTATCAGAATATTTTTAAGGAAGTTCTCTCGCAAACAGAAATGACGAAGAGTTAATTATCAAACTTGATAAACTGATAGATAATGGTTTAAAGAAGATATAGTTAAATTTTTAGAGGTCTAGGTGGATTTTGACAAAAGATATAAATAATTTTCTTTTTTCACATTTAACACGGGTTCTTATGGGAAATTGAATTTTTTGGTCTGAAATCTCAAATTGTGAAAAATCTGACGAAAAGATATTACTGGAACTTTATATACATAAAGTTTAATAGCCAATGTTCACTTACTTTTAATAAAATTGATCAGACCTGGCTTAGGAGACTCACAATTAATTATTTTGTCTAAAAAAACACCGTATTTTGACAATCAGAAATTACTTAGCACAACGCTTGGCAACGTTGCGTCTTGTAGGTTAGGTATAGAAAAAGCGCGAAATTTCAAAGTAATATAAGTAGTATATACATATAATAGTATATTCTTCAAAGATTCATAATAATGAATAATAATTTGAATTTGCTTATAAAAAATTAAGATTTTTAAAATAATAAATTATTATTATTTAACGAAAATAAATCAAACAATAGCAGACGACACGAAACGGAACGGGGGAAATATAATCCAACGTTGCCAAGCGTTGAGCTAGTACTACGTGATACAAATGAAAACTTAAATGGGCATTGATTTGACTGACGTTGGAGGGGGAGAACTTCCTTAAATTTCAGATAACAATTAAATTTTGCAGAATTTTTAATTAAAAATTGTTTTAAATAATTAAATTTTCGAAGAATTTAATGAAAATTATTGGTTAAAAATAATTTAACAATTAGTTATTATAGTTTTCTGTTCTAATCCTATATGATTAAACGTGATTAAATGAAGTAACACAAAAAAAATTTGTTTTTGTACCAAAAGGTTATTTTTTTTTATTATTTTTTTTATACATTAACAAACTCTATACTTTGCTTGGGAACAGCATCTGTAACACAAGAAAAAAGAAATATTATAAATTATGAACTTTAAAGTAAACATTTTCATAATTTAATTATGACAAAAAGTATTAAAATATTTTAAGAAAATAATAAGAATCCTGAATTTTTTATTCATGGTTATTAAACTATCATCTTGATAAAAAAAAATAATACTAAATAGAATATAAATAAAATTCAATCATAATAGAATAAACAGCAAATTTTGTTTCTAATAAAAATAAAAATGAAGTGATTTGAAATCTTACAATTCTTATGCGATGTCCCATCGCTTTAGCAGGCAAATTTCTCTTGAATTTTGCTCGAACTGATCCACTGTTACCATGAGGACGTGTAACTTTACCCCAGATAGCACGAACTTTTGTTTTTTTCGTCTTATTGCCGGGAACTGGGGTCTTATTTTTCGCCTATAATCAAATAATTTAAATTAATATGATTATCAATCAATTTATTTATTGTTTATATTTACAGTCAGTTGGGGTAAATTGGGACAAAATCGCTATTTTTCACAAATTACTTAAGTTTCTTTCTTTAAAAGGTAATATTTGCGGGTTTATTTTTTTTAAGTTGTTATTAACATTCCCAGGATTAATTTTATGTAGCAGAAAAAAATTTAGATAAGCTTTAAACACATGAAACTGTCCCCATTTACCCCAAAATTTAGAAAATTTCATAAAAATTTGGGGTAAATGGGAACAGCATAGTTTCTAAGCAAGTTTTAAGAAAAAAGTTTCCTTAAATATATTACTGTATTAAGTGATGAAAAAACTTGAAAAAAATTGTAGTAGGGTCATTCCATTTTATTTCACCTATAATAGTCGTTGCGGCCTATTTTTAGAAAAATTTGGTATTTTGTATTAATGACTTTTAATATCCGTACAATTCATTTTTGACAATTATTTTATGAAATTTTTTTTATTTACGTTGAAATTTATTTTTTAAGTTGAGTTGAACGGAAAATAGGTTAGTTTGATAGCTTTGGAAATTTTATAAAAAAGAACAGAAATAATTTAGTTATTAAATTTTTTTTCATTGATATTTGTTGAAAATAGTCTAATTTACCAATGTTAATTGATAATTGTGTAAAAAAGGTCAAAATACTACGTGAAAATTAATATTCAAACTTACTTGTAAAATGTCCAAATTTGTCACATTTTATTTATATTTTCCAAGAAAGTTTATAAATATTATAAAATTTATTATTAACTAACAATAAGTACTTTCCATGTACTTTCACATGATATGTTGGCTTTTTATTTTTATAATATAGAAAAATGTGAAATTTTACCATGAATATTGAACTTTTCAGGATTTTATCAGATTTTGAACACTTATATCTTCGCAGGCGATTAATGAAAAAATCCCATTTTGGTATTAAAATTTAAGTTAAGTTTTCTTTATTTATCTTATCAAAATTTGATGATGGAGAACGAGCTACTTTTTATTTTTATTCACTTTAAAAAATCCACCTTAAAATACGAATTTAAAGATTAAAAAACAAGTAATTTTATAAAACTGAAGTTGGTTTTCTCAATATAGATTTATTTGTATGAATTTTATTTATAAAAATACTTGTTTTTTAACACTTCAAATTTGTATTTTACGGTGAATTTTTTAGAGTGAATAAAAATAAAAAATAGCTCGTTCTCCATCACCAAATTTTGATAAGATGAATAAAGAAGATTTAACTTAAATTTTAAAACCAAAATGAGATTTTTTCATTAATCGCCTGCGAAGATATAAGTGTTCAAAATCTGATAAAATCCTGAAAAGTTCAACATTAAAAGTAAAATTTCACATATTTCTATATTATAAAAATAAAAAGCCAACATTATCATGTGAAAGTACTTGGAAAGTACTTATTGTTAGGTAGTAATGAATTTTATAATATTTATAAACTTTCTTGGAAAATATAAATAAAATGTGACAAATTTTGACATTTTACAAGTAAGTTTGAATATTAATTTTCACGTAGTATTTTAACCTTTTTTACACAATTATCAATTAACATTGGTAAATTAGACTATTTTCAACAAATATCAATGAAAAAAAAATTTAATAACTAAATTATTTCTGTTCTTTTTTATAAAATTTCCAAAGTTGTCAAACTAACCTATTTTCCGTGCAACTCAACTTAAAAACTAAATTTCAACGTAAATAAAAAAAAATTCATAAAATAATTGTCAAAAATGAATTGTACGGATGTTCAAAGTCATTAATACGAAATATCAAATTTTTCTAAAAATAGGCTGCAACGACTATAGGTGAAATAAAATGGAATGACCCATAAAAATGAAAAATTCAAGTGAATTTCTGTTATAGTAGTCATAAGGAATAAGAAAAAAAATTGGTATGATTTTTAAGTCTGTTTTTTTTTAAAAAACGAGACAAAATACTGGAACAGTTTGACTTTGATTTTTAAGTTTTTATGCATTGAGCGATAAACTTTTTGCTTCCTCGTGGAGGAAGCTTTGTAGTCCTTTCGTTTATAAAAATTTTCAAAGTGGCGGAAACAAATTTTTTTCTATATAGAAACATGTTATATGAGATCCTGATCAATTGTCCGGATGTATGTATGTGTGTGTGGATCCCTTTTTTTTAGAAGATAACTTTAACAGGTTTCAATGGATTTAGATAAACTTTGGTAGGCTCATTTATCATATTATTATCTCAAATCTGACCAAAGGATTTTGAAAAATACCCCCAAAAAAAAATTTTATCGTCTTTTTTCAAAAAAATTTTTTTTAATCGAAAAAATTTTTAAATAGAAAAATTTAAGGTTATATATTATAAAATCGTATTCCTTACGTCAAGACGAATCGATTGATATATATAAAGTATACATTTGAGGTAAATTTAAAGAATTAATGAAAGTTAAAAAATCAAAAATTCACATTTTGGCAATAAAATTTTGTGATTTTTTAAATTGAAGTTTATATATGAAATAATTGTATTCCTTGCATGAAAACGAATCGAAAGTATACATTTGAGGTAAATTTAATAAATTAATGAAAGATAAAAAAAAAAAATTCCCATGTTAGCTGAAAAATTTTGTATTTATTTAAATTCAAGTTTAAATATAAAATAATTGTGTTTCTTGCATTTAAACAAACCGATATAATTGTAAATAATTATAAATTATATATTATTTTTCATTAATTTTTAGAAATTTCAGCTAAAATGTGAATTTTTTTTTAACTTTCATTAATTTATTAAATTTAACTCAAATGTATAGGTACTCAAATGTTTATATTATTATATTATTTTTGTATGTTTATGTCAATGTTACTGCTTTCTCCACGAGGAAGTAAAATTTTCATGTAATGAACATCTGAATTTACAACTTTTTTTATCTTGCTGCCAATTGTCAAGATAAAAGCTTGGCAATACTAAAAACCTCTTGCAGGTGATCTGAGGTTAAAATATTGACGTTGAACTTAATTTTAAAACTGTAAATTAAGCTCCAACACTTCTTGTTCCCATTTACCTCAACTGATCCTATTTTACTGAGATAGAGAAATTTTTTGTTTTTTTTAAATGATTCATTACCTTATAAACATACACGCATCGTTTTCCAATATAAAAATCGGAATCATTTATTGATCGTGCTCCTTCAACTTTTAAAAGGGCCGTACTTTCATGTTGATTTCTCAAGCCTCTTTTGTAACCAGTGAAAATAGCCTTTGCATATAACCGGCCGTGCCTTTTGAAAGGCCTTCTCTTTAGCGGAACTGATTCCGCTGCCGGCTTTGCTGGCTTTGTTTTTGATTTGCCTGTCTGTTCAGCCATTTCTGTAAAATTTTCAAAATATAAATATAAAGTTCACACGCAGCATCTCTAAATTTTTATCAATATTAATAATTTTTTCCTCAATAACAGGTCTCGCATCGACTTTAAAGCACAAAAAAAAGTCGATTTTTTTATTTTAAAATTTAATTGGTTAATGAATATTTTACTTTAAATAATTAGTGTTATTAGATATTAAATTCATTTTATAAATTCTGTAATGAAAATAATTCTATAAAAATATCAAGAAACTTTAAAAAGGAAAAATTTCTAAAAAAAAATTCTTAAAGTTCCATTTTTATAATTTTTTCAAGTCTGATATAAGCAATTTATTAGAATTAAAAATTTTGTCATAGTTTTTAGTTTTTATGGTTAAAAAAATTTCAAGCAATACTTAATCAGGTTTTAGAGATTTTTAAATAATTTTTTTTTAAATAATAATGATTTTGTAAGTTATTAAAATTTTTTTTAGAAATAATTGAATTTCAAAACATTTTGTTAATTTTCAGACAATAATTAAATTTTACAGAACTAAAAATAATTTATCAAATAATTTTAGATAACATTTTTTTTTAAGTAATTGAATTTTTAAAGATTTACAATTCAGATTTTTGAAATTAATTGAACTTCAAGTGATTTTTAATTAAAATTTTTTTTTGATAATTTCACTAAAAAATTTATTAAAAATTGCAGACAAAAATAGAATAATTTGAAAACCATTTTTAAGTTAAAAATAGTTTCCGATAGTTGAATTTTCAAAAAATATTATAAAAATCATTAAAAATAATTGAAATTTTTTTGCAAATAATTAAATTTTAAGTAAATTTGATTAAAAATTTTTTTGGTAATTTTATTTGCTAATTTTTTTTTAAATTATAAACAATTATAAAAATTTTATAAAAATTTTAATTGAAAAATAGTTGAAGAAAATTGAATTTATCAAGAATTTCATTAAAATTATTAAAATAACTAATTTAGTGAAAAATTTGTTAAATAATTTAAATAAAGAAGATTTGCATTGTATACTTGTATACATATTTAGTTTAAATTTTTTTTTTTAAATTTAAAAAAAAGTCGACAATAATTAAATATTACAGAATTGAAAATAATTTATTAAATAATTTTAGATAACATTTTTTTTTAAGTAATTGAATTTTTAAATATTTACAATTCAGATTTTTCAAATTAATTGAACTTCAAGTGATTTTTAATTGAAATTTTTAGTGATTTATGTTCATGAAGAATTTTTTTTAGAAATTAAAGACAAAAATTGAATTTCAAATGTTTTTTTTATTAAAAAATTGCTTTCGAATAATTGAATTTTTTGAAGAATATTATAAAAATAATTTAAAATCATTAAACTTTAGAAGAGTTACAGTTGATATTTTTAGATGTTTTTTTTTTTGAAAATAATTGAATTCAAATGATTTTTAGAATTTTTTGTTGATTTCTGTTGCATGAAAAAATTTATTAAAAATTAAAGACATAAATTGTATTTAAAAATTTTTTAATTGAAAAATATTTTGAGATAATTGAATTTTCAAAGAATATTATAAAAATTATTGAAGAATTATAATTGAAATTATTAAATTTATTTTTAGAATTAAAAAGTTTTTAAATAAAATAAAAGTAAAATAATAAACAAAAATATTTGGAAATACTAAAATAATAAAATTAATTATAAAATAAATAATAGAAATAACTTTTAAAATATAATATTCAACTATAATTATAATTATATTTGAATATAATTTCATTCAAAAATTCAAAATAGATCGTTAATATTATTTTTTAATAAAAAAATTATTAATTTCAGAGACAACAATTTTTATTTAACAATGATTGATTCATTATTATATTAAAAACAAAATTTAACAGAAAAATAAAAAAAAATAACATCACAATTATTTGTAAGTCGTTTTCATTTCTAAAACTAATAAAAAACGCGCCTACTAAAAAAAAAAATTGGCAAAATTATTAAAACAAAACATTGTTTTTAGTGAATATTTTGAAAAAATCAAGACTATTACATGTATCTAAAAAAGAAAATTACAAAAATTTATAAAAGAAAATCAAAAGGTGCAAGTGTCACACTTTTAAGGTTATGGTTGTTTTGAAAAGTACGTAAACAATATTTCTTTTATATTTTCAAAAAGAATAACACCATAAAAAAGATGTTTTTGAAATTAAAAAATTATTGTGAGTATATAGAAAAAAAAACACTTTTAAAAATTAGAAATTTACTATTTAGAAGAAACACATTTTTCACAATAAAATGACACTACAATCAAGATTGCATTTACAATCCAACAAAATCAAAAGTAAAAATACATCATCTATAACAAAACAATAGAAAATAACACTTTGCACAAAATGAATTTTCAATATAAATTTATAGTTTTCGATTTTCTTTGATGATTTTTGTAAATTTCGTTAAAAATTTTTTATAAATTTTATTAAATGAAACTCACCGACTTCTTACACGGCGTGAAAAGAAAAGAAACGCAATTAGAAAAGAAGACGAGCTCTAGTGGCCATTCTCAAACCTACTATTGTTAGTAATTTATTTACTGTCGATAAGGTAGATATTTGATTTTGTCTACAGGGATGGGTACCTATCATAATTCAGGTAGGAAGGAAGATCTGAAATTCAACAGTCCGTTTCGGATTAAGGGCTCTCTCTCACAGAAGAAGATTTTAGCAGATCAGCAAAATAGATTTAAACCAATCAAAATGTAGTTTCTTGCGGCAAGACAATATTTTCCGTAAGAGACTTCATTTTGATTGGTTAAAATCTATTCTGCAAATGTGCTCACTGTGATAGAGCCCTAATTCGGTGTTTACCCTGCTCTAGTGAAAATTTAGTGACTTTATTGTTAAAATTAAAAGTTACTATAAAATGACTAAATTTTCAACAGAGCGAGTGGGGACAATGAAAACCAAACAAACGCCTACATAATAATAAAGAGTTACGTTTACGTTACGTTTCTATTCTGCTCAGGCCTTTAATGGTGCGTCTCCAATAGGAACCTTAGGCTGGTTCCACAATGGGCTCGACGTAAGGTAAACGCAGCGTTGACGCGACGCATCCCAATGCTAATCAAGGGCTTTCTCCAATAGGATCCTAAACTCTTGCGTTGCGTATGCATTGCGTCGGTTGCTATTGGCAACCAATGCTAAAATCAACGCGTCAGTCACGCAACGCAAAAGTTTAGGTTCCTATTGGAGAAAGGCCTTCAAATGGGGATGCGTCGCGTCAACGCTGCGTTTGCCTTGCGTCGAGCCCATTGTGGAACCAGCCTTAGATCATTCGTAAACGTAGACGTAAGACGTCACCAATGCTAAATTAAATGGGAACCAACGCGACGTATACGCAACGCTTGTTCTTAGGCTGGTTCCACAATGGAGCAAAACGCAGACGCGTCTCATCGCAATGCTAAGCAAATGGGGCTGCGTCCCCTTTGCGTGGCGTTTGGCTCCATTTTGGAACTAGCCTTAGGGTCCCATTGGGAGCGCAACATAAAGGCCTTTCTCCAATACGTTTCAAAATGTTTGCGTTGCGTGACTGACGCGTTGGTTTGCAAGCGCAGTGACGTCATCAAAGAATTGATACCAATCGTGAACAAAAAGTTTGTATTATGATTTTAATACACTGAATTTTTTAATTATAAATATTAAAAAATTAAAATTATTAAAAGCCGTCGAGAAACATTTGCATTAAAAATTGTAAAGTTGGAAAACAGGGACAAGAGAAACCTAAACCATACTTTTTGCTCGCGATTGGTATCAATGCTTTGATGACGTCACTTCGCTTGCGAACAAACGTGTCAGACACGCAACGCAAACATTTTGGAACATATTGGAGAAGGCGGTTCCAGAATAGGTGCAAAAGCCAAGTACAAGTGCAAGTCCAAATGTAAATCCCATTGGTGCAAGAGAGATAGATAGACTACTTATCTCACTTGCACTCATAGGATTTGGACTTGTACTTGACTTTTGCACCTATTCTGGAACTGCCTTTTCTGATTAGTCCAGTAGTGGGGACCGGGACAAAACAACTCGTTGTTTGATGGAGAATTTACACGTTCGGCAAAAAATTTTCCTCACTTTGCATTTTCCGAAATACACTTACCTGATTAGTTGTCCACAATGAATCAGATTCTGGACAACCAATCAGGTAAGTGTATTTCGGAAAATGCAAAGTGAAGAAAATTTTTTACCGAAGGTGTAAATGCTCCATGATTGTTTCCAACCTACGCTTATGGGTAATAACACAGTTACTCACATAACGCAGTTTGACGTTTCGCTATAGACCTTTTCATGCTGATCATTCTGTCCTCTTCCAACTCATGCGTCATTGTATGCGCTAAGCAAGCGCTAAGATAAGGACAGATCGATCAGCATGAAAATATCTATTCTCCCAATTTATTATAATAATTTTTTATAATATGTAATTTGCCGTGTTCAGGCACAATAAAAGTAAAAATTATTTTTTTACACACTTAATTGAAACTAAACACGGCAAAATTACCACATTATTGGGATGTCCGTTACTGTGAAGCGCTCTCTGTTGGACAAATTTTTAACCCTTGAAAGTAGGATGTTTGTCAATTTTTGTCCAGTTTAAACCAATCAGAGTAACTTTCAGACATAGTGGTGAAAAATGGTACTACTGAACGTAGGATAAAATGCTAAGCCACGCCCCCAGCGGACATCCCAATAAAATATAATAATAATAATTAATTTTGTGGAATTGTGTAACGTCAAACTACGTGACTCGATCCAAAAATAAAATTTCATTTAAAAAAACAATTCGTCGAACGTCAATGCCAGAAGTTTTTTTTACCTATTTATTTAATTTGATCGAATTCATCGAGTGGTCACCAATTCAAGTACCAACCGTGTACAACAATGCTTAACTTACTTTATCCGATGAGATGGTGTCCCTTTGCCGTGGTGTGATCGTTGTCCTGTCGTGATAAATGACGTTCTAGTATAGATATTGTATCGCACCTAACCTCACTGTTACTGATGCGAAAATAATGATAATAAATGATACTTCTAGTCGTAGGATCTCTCTTAAGCATATGTTAAGAGACGGAACGAAAAATGGCTACCACAAGTGGGTCGACACCAGATGGCGTATCGCAGTCCTGCGGTTCCCAATAAGGAGATTCCACATCAATTTGCTTAAGGTGCTTTTATACCTCTAGTATTTTGATCAAGCAATCGGCTGGATTGAATTTTCACGGAGAAATCACTGAATTTGATTGGCTCTAACAAAATTTAATTTTGACGGTGAAAATCTAATATTTGTCAGAGCCAATCAAATTCAGTGATACAACCGTGAAAATCCAATCCAGCGGATTGCTTAACCAAAATACTGGAGGTATAAAAGCACCTTTAGGGTGCAGTTCCATGATGGCGCGAATGCAGAATGCAAAGCAGAAAATCGTGAGAGAATAAAAAGTTTCACCATGCAATCAAATTCAGTCATAAATCTCATCAACTACCGCACCCTGCTCTAGTAAAAATTTAGTAACTTTTAATTTTAACAATAAAGTCACTAAATTTTCACTAGGTAGTTGACGAGAATTATGACAAATGGCGAGTGGGGACAATGGAAATCCACCATTTTCCAAAAATTTCGGTTGTAACTAGAAAGTTACTAAACATTCACTAGATTTCGTTGAAGTGTGACGAACCAAATGTTTTTTTTTTTTTTGCATGCATGAGATAGTGTGACCGAACCCTTAAATGCAACATATTTGTGGTGCCAATGTGCAAAAGCCCAAAAGTCGATTATACTGTGTAATTGATGCATAAAGTACTAGGTCGTTTCCAAATTGGGATTTTTAGCGCATACTTAAAAAAAAGTGTATACTAGGGAAGTATGTAGTGTCCTTGTTTTTCTGTGCGAAAAAAAGGACAGTGCATACTTCTCAAATACATATTATGAAAAAATGTGCTAAAAATCCTAATTCGAAAACGGCCCTATGCTTGCTTTACGAAGTGTGACCGCACCCTTAAGGTACAATCACATGATGATGAAAAATTGCGTTTTAGAACTAGACCAGGAGTGCAAAAATGACAAACATGAAATTGGCGGTCTAGTGATTTTTATCTACTTCGTCAGACATTTTGGTTTTTATTTCTCTTTCTATCGTGTTAATTAAAGAAAGACGAAAATGGTTGTCAGAAGTAGGTAAACACTAGATGGCATATTGAAGTTTAGCCAATTCCACAACTCTTTTTCACTCATTATCTAGTTACAAAATTCAACTCTTTCCACCAACTTATGATTTCACCTTTATATTTATTTGAGAGAGAAAGAGATGAGACTATATTTTTTAAAATGTTTTCCCCTCCCCTGCAAATCTTTGATTGGATTCGTCCATTTATAAATCTAAATGCAATTAAGATATATGAAAACACCTTAAAATCTTTTATTTCTAGGTGTAATCGTAACTTAATAACATAACTATAATTGAATTATTATTATTATTATTATTATTATTATTATTGTTGTTATTCTTAACAAGAGCATGGATATGAAAAAAATATTCATTTTAAAAATTAAATGCAAAATTTAAAATTTGTTGATTTTTCAGGGGTAATAAATCATATTCATAGCGCGAAATTCGAATTATGTTTGAAATGATATATTTTCTAAATATTTCAAAACATATGTTATTTTAATTAATTATTATATTATTATTTTAATATTTTACTCAAATTTTATTTGCAAAAAAAAAAATTTTCATATTAATGTACTTTTTTGCATTTCTATGAAAATAAATTCAAATGTAGTTTCTTTTTTTATTTATATATATATATGTATATAATATTAAATGTATTTTAGCTGATTGCGAAAATTGATATCGATTAAAGTTTAACCTTGAATTGAGTAAAAGTTTTGTAGGCAGAGAAAAAGTGGAAAGTAAAAGGCGTTGTCGATTTTCCATTTAAAGGTCGTCAAGGTCAACAAAGGCCAAAGACCGCCTGCACATACTATATATATATATATATATATACACAACGAACTGCAGATTTGCGATCGATCGGCAATGTGATTGGCCACTCCCGAATTTTGCAGTCCAATCAAAATCGTAATCTTTTTTTCCACCAAAAGGTGACAACTATAAAATTTTTTTTGGCGCCTAATTCAAACATTTTTTCGTCTAATTCAAAGTTTAAAAAAAAAAAATAATTTGCTATAGAAAAATTTTTTTTTAAAATTAATTATAGAATTAATTAAAAATTTTTTTCTTGAAAAATAAAGGGCATTTTTGGACGTAAATTGAAATTTAAAAAAAAAAATATCATATAAAGTACATTATCTAATTTTATTACTATCATAAATCTTCAAAAAGTGTTTACAATTTGTGAATTGTTAAGATTTAAAGCTTTCAGACTCAAAAGAAATCTAAAAAAAAAGAAAGGTTTCAACAGTTAAAACTGAAAAACTGGGATACAGAATCAACAAATTTTTCATAATAATTACATAATAATAATAATAATAATATAATAATAATAAAAGTCATTATCATTATCACAATGACAATAGTAATAATAAGAAAGATAATGACAATAATAAATATACCAAGGTTCTTCAAATTCTCTCTTT